GGGAACAGACAAGTTGCTGTCCTTTTGTTCTTCAGTCTAGTTGTGGAGGACGTTGCTTCACTGGCCCATGTTGGTATTATCATTGTGCTCTTCCCGGATGAGGCAGATCGGTCACCAGCCTCTGGACAGCCGTTCACACCGGCTCTTGGCAGCTCACACCAGCTGCTGGCCACTCACGCTGGCTGCGGGCCACACACAGTAGCTTATGGCAGCCCCACTGCAGCAGGAGCTGCAGCCTACACTGTCACCTGCGACTCATGGCAGCCCAGCCCCAGGTCGAGCTGTTTTCACCATCTTCGCTGTAGAGGGCGCAGCGTCACTGGCCCTCATGTGGGACCCGAACCGGGGCCCTGCTGCTCAGAGCTGGTGTCCCAAGCCAGCTCTTAACCAACGCGCCACTCAGCCGGCCCCCTATTACGTGTATTTTTGTTGCGATAGAATACACGTAAAATTTACCATTGGAGACATTTAATCTGTTCACAGTGCTGTGCACTGCTGTGCAACTCCACAACTTCCTTATCACCCCAAAAGGAAACCCTGTCCCCAGTAAGCAGTCACTCCATTCTCCCATTACATGTGTTTTTAAATGGAAACTTATTAGTCATTGCTGTAGCTGGGAAACTGCTAAGCCTTGCCATAAATAGAAGGTTCCAGAAGTTAAACTGCAACAACCAGTGTTATTATGTCCTAGCATGATGTCATCGCCTGTGGAAGGTGCTGATGGGGATGCTGGCAGTTGTGAGAGACGTGACTACCACTCTGGCCCTAAGCTCGGATTTCTTCTTTACACAAGGGTTTCTCACCCTCAGTGCCGTTGACATTGGGGGTCCCAGTTCATTCTGTGTGATGGGGACTGTCCTGTGCACTGTAGGATATTGAGCAGCATCCCTGGCCTCCACCTGGCAGGTGGCAGGAACACCCTTCACTGCAGTTGTGACAGTCAAAGATGTCTCCAGACATAGCCAAGGTGTCCCCTCAGCTGCAGGCATCATGACATTGGAGGTTTGGCTATCCGCTTTTTTTAGCCATTATCCCCAGGTTCGCCTAAAGATTGTAACAATAATGTATGTGTATGTGTATTGTAAAATGTGCAAATTATACAGAATTTGCAAAGCCAGATGCTCCCCAGTGAGTCTCTTCTTCCAGAAGTGACTTCTTCTGACCATTCAGGGTGTGCATTCCAGACTTTTTACCTGTGTGCATTTGTTTATCTTATAAAAATGTAGTCGTGCTGTATAAATATTCTCTAGCTTGTTTTTTAAAAATGGCTTATTGAAATATAATTCACATACTATACAATTCCCTCTTTTAAAGTGTACCATTCAGTGGTATTTATTAGACTCACAAACAGAGTTGTGCAACTGTTGGCACTATCTAATTCTGGAACATTCCTATCACCCCAAAAAGAAACTCCGTACCCATTAGCAGTCACTCCCCGTGTCCCCTACTCCTGCCCCTGGCAAACACTCATCGACTTTCCGTCACTGGATTTGCCTGTTGTGGTCATTTCATAGAAACAGAGCCATACACTATGTGACCTTTCGTATCTGGCTCCTTTCACGGAGCATTGTGTCTCTTTTTGGCTAGGCTATTACGAATAATGGGGCTGTGACCATTTGGGTACCAGTTTGTGTGTGAATGCACATTTTCATTTCTCTTGGCTACAGTTTGCTTTTAAATTTTATGTTTCTCCGGCTTTTTTTTTTTAACAGCAGTTTTAGGTTCACAGTAAAATTAAGAGAAAAGTGTAGAGATTTTTCTTACCTGCCCCCCCCACACACATGTATAATTTTTACCTTTTAATATGGTGGGCGTCGTTCCAGGTCAGTCCTGACAGATCTCCTTAAAGCTGGAGTGGTTTAAAAAAAAAAAAGCTGGAGTGGCTTCTTTGCCGGTTTTCCCTACCAGCCCCCCCTCGTGGGTTTCCATTTATTTTGGTCAAAGCCATGACCCTTTCCTCCTCTGCCCTGTTCCTTGTCCCTATTTCCTTGTATCCATCTGGCCTGGGGCTTGCAAATACCCCATCTGGTGAGCTTTTCTGTACCTGGAGAGCCCAGGGGAGAGCCTGAGGGTGCCAGGGTTCAAGGCCCTCACTAGGGCTGTGTAGGGGGAGAGCAAAGCATGAGCCAGAAAGCCGAGGAGTGACTCATGCTGGCGTCAGCTGCCTGGCTCTTTCTCCTGGACCGGGGCGGGGAGGGGGCTTTTCCCTAAGAAAGCCTCTCTTCCTGCATTAAAAATAAACGTTTCCCTCAGCCTCCCGGGTGGGTGGAAGCTCCTGTCCTCTCCCAGCATGCTTAGCTCTGGTGTGAGACGTCTGTGGAGCAGCCATTTAAGGGAGATGGTCCTTGCTCCCTGCGTCCCCACACTCCCTAGGTTCCTCCCCCTGGGCCTCCAAGGAGCCTCGCCCTCCCATGTGATATGGCTTGGATGGGGTGCCAGCTACAGATGCATAGGTGAGATAACCAGAAATCAGGTGGCAATTCTGTGTGTGGAGGCTGTCGCGGCCGGGTACCCCAAGGGCGGCACAGCGCCCGGGCCCTGGTGGCTGGGGGAGCTAGGGTCGCAGTGCCCCCGTCGTCTCCATCTCTGTCCCCTGGCCCAGCACTGGGCGGCCAGTGTAGGTCTTCCGTCAGAGTTCGCTGAGTCAATTGAGTGAAGGCTGTGTGTAGGGTGCTGCCATGGGCCCTGTTGACAGCACATGATTTCCAAGCTGAATATTAGTGGGAGGCACCAGGAAGGCTGCTGCAACAGAGCCTTCAGTGTCCGTGTCAGGACTGTTTGGGTTGTTAGCGACGGAAACACACCTCAGCCTGGCTTAAGAAAAGAAGACCAGGAATATATTGGCTTAGATTCCAAAAGAGCTGGATGGCTTGCGGTTTCCTGTAGGGCCCGTGTCATCAGGACGGGGTCTGCTCCGGCTGAGCCTGCTCCCTTCTCAGGCTGGCACTCTGCAGATCAGCAGCCGGGGCTCTAGAGTGCTTGGATGGACCATCTTAGGCCGTGTGCCTCCCTTTGTTGCCCCCATTTGAGGCAGGCACATGCTATCTTCTGGCCAGACGACCCAGACCCAAGGTAGGGTCTCAAATTGTCCCCAAATTTCCCCAAAGAAAATTGGGCTGCTGCCATTTGAAAAGAGCACTCGCGTGCTGGGCAGGTGGACAGCAGCTGTCTGCACCTTTTCTGTGGGGTTTGGACAGATCTGGGCAGGAGACCCCCCAGTGAGTCAGGCTGGATAACAGCAGAGTCTCAAGGGCGGAAGTACCAGGGGGATCTGGGGCAGCAGTAGTGGCCTGTCCCAGGAACAGGTGGATGGGGCCCGGAGGCCACCCTGGCTCTGTTACTCTCTCCATGATGCATTGGGCAAGTTTCACTCTCTCTGCAAGCCTGCGTTTCCCATCTGTCACCTGGAGGTAGAAACTGTCCCTTGCTGTGGGGTGGCTGTCAGGGTTTTGTGAGGTCAAGTGTGCAGAGTGCTTACTTAGCTTGGGCTGTCCATCATGAGCCCTGTCTGTCGGGGACAGAAGAGAAGGGCCAGGGTCCTTGCCTGCTGGTGGAGCCACCTCGCACACCTCCCCAGACTGCTGTCTGTTATTCCAACACCAGCAAAACACGACTGTCAGCCATGCTAAGGAGCACTCAGCTTAGTGTGCAAGGGAGAAAGAGTGCAAATGACTTGGCAGCTCCTTAGAGCACCAGGTCGCTCACGTCAGCTCTGAGGATTATATCCCAGCAGCCGGCCAGAAGCACAAAGCTCTGCTCCCATCGGCTCTGTCACCTGAACAGCTCCCTCCTGGTCTTAATTACAGCCCTTGGAAGGGCAGCACCTGTGCATCACACCCAGCGTGGTCATCACCAGGGTAACTTTGGGATGGTCGTCAGCGAGATCACCCCTGTGCCCTGACTCAGGGTGGGAAGGGCAGGAACACGCTTACAGAGGGGCCACTGTCCCCTGGATAGCTGTAAATGACATGTAACTCCTATCTTGGGTGAGCACATCCCCACGGTCATCTCAGATCAAGGCAGGAGTGCAGAGAGGGTGTCTCTCCCTTCAGCAAGTCCAGGGTTCTGTGGTGCAGCCCCTCCACTCTGAGGTGTGGGGAGCATGAGGCCTCGCTGGGTCCTGGGCAGGCCTTGACACATCCCACACCCCCCCACACACACCTCCCTGCATGCATCTGGTACACACACATGTCCCCCCAAAGCCCTGCGTTCCTGGGGGCCAAGCCCTGTGTCTTCCTGGGCGACCCTCCTGGGCCACCTCCCTCGGCTCCTGCTGCCTAAACATGCAGAGTTTCGAATGGCTGGTGTTCACTGCGCGCTTGCCCAGATACCACGCTCACAGACTTTGCATTAGGCACAGCTTTTATTCCTCTTTTACAGATGGGTAAACAGGCCTGGGTCGTGGCTCTAGATTTGAACACGCCATTTCTGAGTCTGACCCTGCCCGGCACCCAGACCCCTTCTGGCCCCTCCCCTTCCCAGTCCTGCCTCCCTCTTAAACAGCCTGGGATGGACCGGCACCTTCTAGGCCCCCCATGCAGCTCCTGCTGCAGATGCCCTCAGCTGGCCGCCTCTGTCCCATGGGCTCAGTGTGACCTGACCCGAGGCCCCCACTGGTGAGCAAATGTGGAGATCACACCCGAGTAGACACGTGTGAGGAGGAGAGTGGCCTCCCAGAGGAAGGAAGCACTGACACGCTGTCACATGGGTGAACCTGGAAACCATGCTGAGTAAAAGAAGCCAGGCACGGAAGACAAAGACTGTGCGATTCCGTTTCTGTTACATGTCCAGAACAGGCAAGTCCATAGACAAAGTAGAGGGGTCACCAGGGGATGAGGAGGGCAATGGGAGTGATTGCTTAATGGGGACAGAGTTCCTGTTTGGACGATGAAAACATTGTGGAAATGAATGGTGGTGATGGTTGCATGACCTTATTATGAATGTATTGAATGCCACTGAGTTGAACACAAATTTGCCATTTTAATCACTTTTATCTCTCTCACCACAAAAGAACAAAGGCACAGCCAGGCCTCTGTCTTCCTCACCATTTTGTCTGCCCCCTCAAACTCTGCCACAGCCCCCACCCCTCCTCCCTCCAGTGCAATCTGACCATTCTTGCCTCCTTTTCTCAGTTGAACTTTGACCTGGACCGGGGGGTGTTTCCAGTGGTCATCCAAGCCATGGTGGATGAAGGAGACGGTGAGCTGCCTTTCCTCTTCTGTTCTCCCTTCCAGCGTGTGGACCTTGTGGGAAGAAGCCATCTCTCCAGGCCCTTCTCCCCTCCATCAGCAGGAACAAGTTTATTCAGAAGTGATGAAGGACAGGGTCTCAGCCCACTGAGCAGGTTTAGGGCCGTGGGGCTCAAGCACCAAGCTCTCCCTCTCCTCTCTGGGTCCCCCTTGGTGTCTCCCCCACCTAAGGCTGTGGAGCCTCTCTCCAGCTCAGGCTACCTGGCCAGCCTGTCCCCCTCCCGCAGTGGCAAGGCCCTGTGACAGAGCCTGGCTTTCACGGTGGTAACAGCGGCTAAACAGGCCTCTGATCCTGGTGGCCACCCCGCAGTGGAATGATGGAGACAGTTAGCAGAAAGCGGAACGGCCTTCCTCAGGCCACGCTGATCTCCCAACCAGTCCAGCCAGTCCTGCCGGGTCTCCCTGTGACTGCTGTGGGCTGTGGGCCCCCAGCCTGGGGTGTGGACATGGAACCCTGCCAGGGCAGGGCTTGCCTCCAGGCCCACTGGCTGAGTCCAGCTCCTCAGCCGTGCCCGAAACGCCCTCCCATGTGCAGGGAGACAGCAGGTACCGAGCCAGCCTCGGGCAGTTAGAAGTGGCTGCTTTGGAGGAGGGGTGAGGTGTGGGCCAGAGCGAGGCAGGGCCCCTCAGGCAGAGGAAGGAGAGATGAGGACCAGCCTTCCAGAGGTTCTGGACCATCTGGACTCGGCCTTCAGGGAAGAGAGTGAGGCTGGAACAGGGGCCAGGGCAGCACTCTGAGTGCTCTCCTCTCTCTCCTCCTCGCTCTCCCAACAGTTGTGGAGGTGACTGGCCACGCCCACGTGCTCTTAGCTGCCTTTGAAAAGGTAAGTGCTGTCCTGCCCCTCGACCTGGGAGCTATGGGAAGAGGGGTGGTGTTTGAGACTAGAAGTCTGAACTTGGAGATCATGTCTGGCCAAGTGGGCTTAGTGCCGGAGGCCCAGGGCAGATGGAGGGTTCCCCAGTCATTCCAGGCTCCAGGGAGATGATGCGTGTCAGGAGGCTGGGCCTTAACGTCGAGCGTCACCATCAGGAGGCTTTTCTGAGGGCATGTGGTGTGTGGTGAGGGCATGTTCTGGAGAGTCTAACCCTCTAGAAGTCCCTGTAACTTGCCAGCACGGGCTGGGACACCCACGTCGGGGGTTCCAGTCAGACTAGCTTTCCTCTGAGATGTGGATGGACCGTCCAGGGCTGCCACCATCCAGGGCTGTGGCCTTTCCCAGCGGGCCCAGTGTCCCGGGTATCATTGGAACCTCTCAGTCCCCGCCTGGTCCATGAATGTTTACAGGTGGCCTTGCCCCGCCTCTGGGAAGCTGCATCCCCTGGCCGCGCTGGGCTGGGCAGACCTCCCTCCCCGTGGGGGCATTCCTGACCTCCGGGCAGACACTCATCTGATGCTGTGAGGGCAGAACTGGCCCCTTGTTGGTCATATCTTCAGTGCGCAGTAGGCACTCAGTGAATGCTGGTGTTGTGGACGAGGGTCTGGCACCTGCCTCGCACCTTTTGTAGGTGGCAGAGAGAGAAGACATCCAGACTCCTCTGAGGGCCCTGAGCTGGGGATGCCCTACATAGAAAAGGCCATTTATGTGGAAGGATTCACTTAATGTTAACCTTTAGCATTACTTGTATTTGAACTTGGGTATTTGCCCCTTCCCTCCATGCAGACCCGAGTCCCCAGGCTCCCCACTGTTTGTGTTTTGTGACCACATTTACAGGGTGCAGTGGTGATACTGGCTTTGGTGGTGAGGGTGGTGTGCCGCACCGCTGCATCCACGTTAGGACATTGCGGGTTCTAGGGACAGTCTCTCTCGCCAGTCTGCTGCTCCCGGGGACCAGGTAGTTCTGTGTGTTTGGCCACGCAGTGATTGCGTGCCTGGTTGTGTTGGGACAGGGTCCCTGCTCACTGAGACCCTTGCTGAAGGTAGTGGGTGTGTCCCTGGTTGATAATGGCCAGGGCTGACACACACACACACACACACACACACACACACACCCCAGTGCTCTCTGTCTTCGGCTGTACAGTGTTTTTGGCACCAGCCTGTGGCCTACGTGCATGAGGATCAAGGACCCGATGAGGAAACCAGGCTCAGACTGCTTGCACAGGAATTCCCACCACGCCTGGGCGTCCTGCTGGCCCCAGCTCCCTCAGCTGGGTCTGCGTCTGCAGTACTGAGAGCCAGCCCTAAGAGCAGAGCCCAGCCTCTTCCTGTGATCTGGGCCTTTCCAGACACCCAGGAGTCAGGATAGCCAGGCCTGAGGCCCCTCTGGCCCGTTTGTCCAGTGCTGTCCCTGGCCTCTTGGTGCTCTGGTGATGTCGAGTGCCCCGGGCAAGGTTGGCCCGCTCCCTGTCCAGCTCTGTGCTTGCCAGCTGTGCTCCCCAAGCCCGGCCTTTCAGAAGAGACAGTGACTATTTACCCATCGCTTTTCTGGCTGAGGCAGATGGGCCACTGATGGACAAACATTCCATTCTGTGTTTCCAATGTAGAGCCCAGTGAGAAACTGCTTCATTTTTGGAGTCTAACATACTAGAAACTTCTGTAGGAGCCCATCAGCCTTATCAGAAAATGCCAAGTACTGGTCTTGGTTGACTCAGTAGTATAATTGGTGTTGTTGCAAGATCTCAGACCTCATACCTTAACTAACCTTGTCGACTGAGCAGAATGTCTCCCCAGATACCCCTGAGTGCATTTGCTCTGTTTTGTTCTACAGTTTTTAGAGCTCAGGACGTTTCTGTGTTCGCATGCGCGTGCGTGTTTTGTGCCGTCTTTGAGATGAGACCAAGCCCTCTGAGGGCTGGAACTGGGCTCCAATTCTTGCTGTCCAGGCACTGCTTCTCGCCGTTGGGGAGGCTCTTGTCCATCTTCAGAACTTGGCTGATGGTTGTCAACTTGGATGTGCTTGAGAGCTTCCCCGGGGGGGCAGTTGGGTTTCGTAGGTCAGGGTGGGACCCAGGAGATGGTATCTTTAGAAGGTTCTCCGGGTCGTGTCGAGGCCAGGTCAGAGGCTACATTTGAGAAACCCTGGCTTGGCTTTTCAGTCTTCATGCGGTCCCTCCTTTGTCTAGCTGTAGATGTGGAATGACCGAGAAAGACCTTCAGCCGGCTGAGCAGTGCTGGCGTGGCTGAGTTAACCTCTGTGTCTTTCTTCCTGCAGCATGTCGACGGCAGCTTCTCTGTGAAGCCGTTAAAGCAGAAGCAGATCGTAAGTCTTATCAGAGGAAATGTGATTTAAATGACACACGCATACACATAACCCAGTCGTCTCCGTGGATTATTCTCCCTGCCCACCACGGTTGCTATTGAGGTAGCTGGTGGCAGGCCTGTTGACTTGTCTGTCATCACTCTGGGCTCTGGGAAGTCAGGGTCAAGGTCATCACCCGGCGCATACATGTGTCCTGCCACCACTGACCGCTATAGCCCTGAGCCGTGTCCAGCATGAACGTAGTCAGCTTTCAGAAAATGTTTGCTGAATGAATGAATGAATGGACGGAGGGTGAGAGCAAACAGAAAATTAGACTGCAGCTTCTGCTGCCCCTCGTCCCCATCCTCCTTCCCCTGCTCCCCGGCCGCCTCTTCTTCCTCCCCCTCCTCTGTCTCCTCCCCCTCTTTCTCTCCCCCACTCCCCCCTCCTCTTCCTTCCCCCCTTTCTCCCCTCCTCCCCCTTCCCCTCCTCTTCCTCCCCTTCTTCCTCACAAATTGTGGGAAATGTTGCAGTACTAGGCAAAGTCGAATTGACTGAATCAATATGTGAGGAAAGATGGAATATTCTGGAGCACATGGGAGCTATGGAGCAGTACAACGTTTCTTTGGGGTTAGTAGTTCCGTGGTCCTACCCCAGGAAGAATTATCCCTGGTGGCCTCCCATGCTGTGAAAATTTAGATGATGGGGCCCCCAGAATCACAGTATGTTGGATCTTGATACTGAGATTGATTTTAACAATGGCCACGGTGGGGTTTGTTTCCAAAACCATGGTGAGAATTATCCTTGTATGTAGCTGCTCAGGTGTGTAAGCTGCAACCTGGTAATGGTGTCAGTTAGTTTTTTAAAAGGAGGCGTATTGAGAACTCGGGAAGACCCAGCCCCTGTAGGTGGCAGGAGGGCCAGAGACCCCAGTGATGGTCAGGGCACTTGTTGCGGGAGAGCTGACAAGCAGGACTGTTTGTGGCTCTCAGGAGGGGCGTTGATGGCCCTGTGGGCAACACAGCAGTTCCGACCACTTTTGAATGTGGACAACAGGAGACCTGACCCTGGTCACGCTTGTGGGACTGGTGATGGGTGGGCCCAAAGAGTTTTATTCTCCAGGTTGGGGACGGTAAGGTGGGCAGAGGGTCTGGTTGCTGGGCCCATGTGGAGCTTGCGTCCAGGCCCATCTCTGTGGTGGGCAGAACCCCTGGGCCCCCCACCTTACTGCCTGTGCTACTAGTGTCCTGGACAGGTCGCTGGTTCTTCTAACCCCTCTCGTGGGGTGGGGCTGGACAGAATTCCTAACTGTGCCTGCTTCCAGGACCTGAGCCTGGTACCTGGGAGGTGGTGTTAGGCCAGGTGGGTGCAGAGGAGCCCTGAGTGGGGGTAGCAAGTGCCCAGATGCCTTCCTGCTCTCCAGGTGGACCGGGTCAGCTACCTTCTGCAGGAGATCTACGGCATCGAGAACAAGAACAACCAGGAGACGAAGGTACGTGCTTGTGGCGAGCACACGCGTGGACGCCAGGCTGGCCTCGCTCCCCAGCTTTCCTCCACTTGCACAGAAGCAGACTCGGGAGTGACTTGCCTGGGGTCCCCCCGCCCTGGCCAGGGCCCTGCGGGTTGATGGGAGAGGAGCCATTCCCTTCTGTGCCTTCCCCTGGAGGCCCCAGGACCCCAGACTCCATTATTTTTCCTTGAGTTTTTACAAGAGTTAACAATGACTATGGGACATTTTGTCCTTTTTCCAGCAAATTCCTGGCTTGTTACCACTGTTGGGCTGCTGGCTATCAGGTCCCCTCCTGCCTGATTGGGCTTAGCTGGTGCTGCCTGGGCTTTTCAGTTCTCACAGCCTGCTGTTCACTGCCCCCTGCTGGCTGTCTCCTCTCCAGACTGAAGCCCCTGCGGTTCTGTGGATGGAGGGATGTGCCTTTCTGTCACAGACAGAAACCTGGTGGCTGACAGAGCCAGGGCTGGCACAGCCAGGGAAGGGTAGCAGAGAATCAACTGGTGCCTTTGTCACTGTTTTCAAAGGCACACTGGCAAGAATGAAACGGCCGCCTCTTTTTAAACATCTCCAGAGTCTCACACACCAGCCGGAACAGGACAGAAGCAGAAGGACAGGGTAGTTCAGCCAGGCCCTGAGCCTCACATGACCACTGTCTGCCCAGTTCACGTGTTTTGCACCAGAGGTCGACTGACTTTCTGAAAAGAGCCAGATAGTAAATATTTTCAACCTTACTGGCTCTACGGTGCCTGTCGCATCTATTGAGCACGGCCATTATAGCGCGGGAGCAGCCACAGGCGATGCAGAAACAAGTGGGCGAGGCCTTGTTTCAGTAAAACTTTATTTACAGAAGTAGGTGGCAGGCCATAGCTTGCTGATCCCTGTTTTAAAATGCTGTCTCTTGATCCAGATACTAATTTCGTTTTCCAAAAGCTGCCATCACTTGATGAAAATATTTCAAACAAGTTAAACTTGTCTGATCTTTTTTTGTTTTGACCAGATAAATAGGTACCTTCTAGAAGACGTGTTCCACGGTGTGGTGTCTTTTCCACATTTTGTTTTTGGTTCTGAGGACTAGAAAGAGACCTGCATTCCTTGATTTGGGGAGTGCGTTTGGGGTGGGGCCACAGCTGCTTCTCTTTGCTGAGGGGCGGGCATGGGCTGGATCTGGTGCCCAGCCAGCATGGCTCCCGCCACGCCTCCTGAGGAGTTCTGCTCTTTGGTGACATTCCTCTGCCCTCTTGGGCTTCCCTTTCCCCTGGAGAAGTGGGGGACGGCCAATGGGGTGGCCAGAGCCAGAAGGCCCCCTCCCTGCCCTTAGCTGGCTTCTAGCCTCTGACTCTCAGGAAGCCACTGACCCTCAGACCTTTGATGTCCCTGCAGCCCTCGGACGAGGAGAACAGTGACAACAGCAACGAGTGTGTGGTGTGCCTGTCGGACCTGCGGGACACGCTGATCCTGCCCTGCCGCCACCTGTGCCTGTGCAACTCCTGCGCCGACACGTTGCGCTACCAGGCCAGCAACTGCCCCATCTGCCGGCTGCGTGAGTGGGGACTGCCGCACGGAGTGGCGGGGCGCTGAGGGTGACAGAGGCAGCCAGCCCCGCCGGGTTCACGGTGGAGGGGAACTTTGTGGTTAGCATAGCTGGTGAACCCACAGCAACTGCAGGCGCTAGGGAGGGTTCAGATCCTCAAAACTCTGCCTGCAGGAAAATGAGACTTTCAGAATAAATGACCGGCAAGGGTGTTCCAGGTCCAGTGTTTACAGTGACATTGGAACCAGACGGACATTGATCAGTGAATCAAATCCTTATTTTAAAGATTATGTGGAAAATATTTTGATAGAAATTACTGTGAAATGAAATGGGTGCTGATCAAGGAATTAAATTTGGTTTCCTGGAGCACTCCAGACAATTTTTTTCAGTCAAAACTCATCACGTTGGGTGTAATTCTGAATAAAAGATTTGTCTTCCAATAGAAGGAATCTAAACATTCTCAGGGTACTAGTCCCACTTCAGGGTCACCATGAGCGTTAAGTGGGTGGGGAGAGCTGGGGGGTGGGGGCTGTGGGACATTTTCATTTAGTAGGTAAATGATACCTTTTTAAAAACGAATTCTGCTGTTTCATACCTTGACTGCTGAGGTTCTGCCCCCGAGCTCTGAAACAGGACATGTGGCCTGACCTGCCATGCTTGCCTCTTGGGGCTCAGAGGGAACCTTCCCAAGGTCGCGGCTAATAAGGGACAGAGGTGGGGTTTAAACTGGGGTCTGGCCCAGAGCCGCACCCTCACCCCCGCTGACTGGAACTGGCTGCACCGGCACATCACAGGGCTGTCCCCCCCAGGATAGCCAGGTGGCCGTGGGAAGGGGCCACAGGGCAGGCTGACCGTGTGGAAGTGGAAGACAAGACTATGTGGTCTCCAGAGCCTGGAAGGAGGCCCCAGCCTTGATGGGACACGGGGGCTGTGCGCTCGGCCTGGAGAGACGGGCAGCAGGGCTCTGCCCAGCCCACTCAGACTGTAGCATGGAGGGCAGGAGCCTCTCCTCGCTGAGGGACAGGCTGGGAGCAGAAGGGCAGGAAGTAGGGGCGGGGGGCCGTGCGGTGGCAGGATCCTAAGCAGCCTCCCCTGCTTTCTCTGGCCGCCTGGGCATTCTCGGGGTGCAGCAGGGACGCCAGGGCAGGTGTAGCACTTGGGCTGGCAAGTTGGCCCAGGGCCCTTGTCCCTGAGGCCTGCAGCCTGGGGCGACTGCTGTCCCCGCTAGGGACTCAGTTGTCTCATCTTTTGTGGGGGTGTAGCTGGTATATTTGTGACCATTATGTGTGTGACCTGTACTTTCATCTAACCATGTCTCACAAATATACTTTTGTTAATGGAACCGATGCTACAGGATGACTGGTAGCTTGTGTCCTAATTTATTTTCCCAGATCCTTGTGCTGCTTTTAGTTTTCCCCGCGTGGACATTGTACCATCATGAATGTTCATGTACATATGTCTGCCTGCCTGTCAGTCACTTCCTTCCTTGGTATAACTTCCAGGAAGAGACCTGTGGTGTTTAGAGCACACCGTGCGCTTTTAGCTGGTTGGCAGGTGTAGCTTGCAGCCACGTTCACGGTCTAGTGTACCATCTGGGGTGTGGCAGGTGAGACGCTGGCTGGCTGCACCTTGCTTGCCACCGCTTGAAGCTTTGTCTGAGTTGGGGCAGCGCCATCCTGGCCTCTCTGTCTCCCTCCTGGGGACGTTTTGTTATGACTCTGTTCCGCCTGATTCAGAAATGTGTCTTGTCCCAGGACTGTTGTGTGTGTGTGGGGGGGTAGTCAGTGTCCCTGGAGCTTGGAGGATCTTGGTGGTACTGGAACTGACCGTCCTTTGCCTGACATCAGCCCCCGCCCCCTTTCTGCCACAGCTTTCCGGGCCCTTCTGCAGATCCGGGCAGTGAGGAAGAAGCCAGGAGCCCTGTCCCCTGTCTCCTTCAGCCCAGTTCTGGCCCAGAGCATGGACCACGATGAGCACTCTGTAAGTGCCTCCCTCTTCCTATGCTGGGAGCGGGGGCTGGGGAGGGTTGGCAGAGAGAGGCAGGGGTCTGTAGGAAGCCCCCTGCCCACTGTGCAGGGCCTGATAGGCATCCAGATGCTTGTGGCCTGCCTTCGTGTTAGGACAGTGTCCTGCTCCTGGGGGGCTGGGTTGATCAGGTAGCCAGGAGGAGACCACCTGGGCCCTGCCCTTGGGGCAGTAACAGGCCAGGACCCAGATTGTCTGGCCAGCACCTCTGCCTGCTGGCTCTCTGGGCTTCTGTCCTCATGTGCCCAGCAGGGCCTCACAGGGGGCTGTGGGCTGAGTGGGGTGATCCAGGCCTGGCCCAGCAAGCTCCAGCGGTGAGATTGCTGGCGGTGTCAGGCGCCCCATCGCTGAGTTTGTGCCACGGTGTCTGTCACCATTGTCCCACCAAGCCAGGAAACTGGAGCACTCCATGGGTCTTGGGAAGTGAGGTCTCCTTCAAAGGGTGGCTGTGACATGCCCTCCACGCGTTCCCTGGCCACCTCTCCCCAGCCTGGGTGCCCAGGAGGGCACCTCAGCAGTTGTCCCCCATCCTTGCTTCCTGAGAAACCATGAGGTGGACCTTGCAGCCGGCAGACGAAGGGAGTCGGTCTCTGGCTTTAGCAACCTCGAGAGAGATGGGCAGAGACATGGAGAGAGGGAGACTGAGAGATGCATGCTCAGAGACAGAGTAACACAGACACAGACAGGGAGAGAGAGACAAATGCAGAGACATGGAGAGACAGATGCTGAGACACAGAGAAGGGACACGCAGAGATACAGGTGAAAGGGAGCTACTTAGAGATGGACAGACAGGGAGCAAGACAGGGAGAGAGATACGGACAGACAGATAACAGACAAAGACGGGGATGGCGGTAGAAAGGAGAGACGGAGGAGGACAGATGAGGGAGGAAGAACCAGGAAGCAGGGGGGCAGGCCTGGGTCTCGAGCCCCCAGGTCCCAGCTGGTCACGAGTGTTGTCAGCTGTGAGTCTGTTTTCTTGGCTCTCTGCTGAGGTTGTTTGGACCCAGTGACTCTTAGAGGTCCTGCCAACTCTCTAAAAAGAAGAAAGGACCCAAGCCCTCTGGTTGGTGCGCCCACAAGATGGGCTCCTATGCTGGGCTGGTGGGTTTGATGTGTTCGGCCCACAGTGTTTCTGAAAATTGGGCCAACATTTAAAAGTCTGGAAATTTCCCTTAAAACTCAGATTTCTGACTTCTCTTTCAAAGCCTGAAGGTGTGGTCTCACAGCTGGAGCAGAGGCAAGGCTGCCCCTGGGGGGCAGGGGTGAGTTGCCATCACCCTCTTCCCCTGGGGCAGCCTGCCTGGCCCTGTCAGCACCAGGGCTTACAGCCTGGAAACGCGGCTCCCCAGTGTTTTTCACATAGGGTTCGGTTAGGAGCTCTGCATACTTTCCCCGACAACGTATTTTGAGAGAGAGGGGAGCAGCACTTAGATGTGATTTGTCCCCAGGAAGAGAGGACTCGGACTACTTCACAGAGCGGTGGCTGCTCAGGTGGTGGGATTTTTGTGTCGCTTGCGTGTTCGCCTCCCACTTTTTGCCCTGGTGCCTGAGGGGAGGCCGGACCCTTCCATGTTTGTCCCTCTTACCCTGAGAGCCAAGATGCCACCCCCAGTACAGGGCGGCTGGGGCTTGGATAGTAACCCAGTGCCTTCCTTTCCAAAGGGTTAAGATCGCCAGACACGTGGGTTCTTGTTCTCTGCCACTTTTCTCTGTACGAGCAATTTCCACACAGTACAGGGAGAGCCCAAATTAGGCATTTTCCCTACTGAGTCCATTAAGATCATTGCAGAGTGGGGTGATCTGGGTTCATTTTCCTCCCCAGCCACTGTCAGGACTTAGATGTTGGTGATGAGGTTATGAGGCCAGGCCAAGCCTCATGGAGGTCCCTGGGGCCTTGGGGTCCCTTCCCCATGCCTAGCCAGGCCCGCATGTGGGGAGCAGCTGGCCATCTCACACCACCTTGCCCAGGACCTGCTGCCCAAGGTGACCCAGACCGTGGGTGGGCACTGGGGATGGGGATGGACCCCTAAGAGCTGCGTCAGTGCGCAGGCCCAGCCCAGCCAGGTCCCTGAGGCCAGATCTGCACTTGGCAAGGTCCCCGCGACTCAACGTACACTTGAGGTTTGCGTAGCTCTGGCTCACGGTGCTCGTAGAAGCCAGCAGACCAGACAGGCCCCGTCCAGGCAGCGCCAGGGCTGGACAGGGGGTGGTAGTTGTAAAATGTCTGATTTTTATTTTGACAGTGTCCCTTTAAAAAATCAAAGTCGCACCCCGCCTCACTGGCCAGCAAGAAACCTAAAAGGGAAACTGTAAGTGTGTTTGGCCCTGTGGCCACATCTCTGCCCCTCACCCTGATTATTAAACCAATACCAAGTATGGGAAGTCATTTTCACCCCAGGCTGACGCGTTTGGTTAATTTAATCTGTCAAATCCACTCTCCCCAGTCCCGGCGTCCCTGCCCAGGAAGGGAGTTTTGTGGAACAAGCAAAGCTCAAGGTCTGTCGGCAAAAAGCCCGTCTTGCGGGCCCCCTCTGCCAGGCGACGTACGGGCCTCCGGCCGCCCCTTCCCGCCAGCTCTGCTTCTGCCCCGGTCCCCATGGCCCGCGTTTCCCTTTTTTTTCTTGCTGGCCGTGGAATGATGTTGGAGGTGGAGCTCATGTGGCTGCTAGATTTTGCAAACAGCACTCCTGGCGCTTGCTTGTCATCCTGCACCCCCTGCCCTCTGCCCCTTGGGTTTGGCCAAGGACGTGGTTTTCTTGCATTTTCCCTACACCCCAGGAAGCAGGCTGGGTGCCAGACTTCGTGGCAGCCGGGCTGGGTCTCTGCTTGAACCCCGCGCCCCCTTGGTAAAGCGTAGAGGTGGAAGTCACTGGAGAGTCAGCCTAGAGAGAGGTGTTTTCCTTTTGGAGGGATGAAGGGGTTCAGAGTAATTATAACCTTTAAATTGAAGGCAGATTGGGAGCACATGCAGGGCACCACCGCCTCAGGTGACCCAGAGGCCCCGGGGTGCTTGCTGAGGGCAGAAGGCCCCTGCCTCGGTTCCTCTGCCTGTCCTGTGGTCCCCGGGTCACTCTGCCACCTCCCTGAAAGGCAGCCCTCCCCCCAGCAGATCGGGTGGGCTGGCACAGGGGGTTCACTTAGAGCGTTTGCCCTTCACCTTATCTAATGAGAGCGAGAGCAGGTGGCCGCCGCGCCCTGCAGGGGCCCAGCAGTGCCACCCCCCAGCACCTGGGCATCTCCCTTCTCCCTTCACCTGTAACCCTAAAGCAAGACTCAGCCTGTCGATGTGAGCTGCTCCCAGCAAGGGGGAAACAACAGTTCTGGACCAGGGGGCCCAGTAGAAGCTCCCAGAGCACACATCACTGCTTAGAGGGCCGCCCGCCCCAGGTCCACAGAGGATCTCGAGTGGGGCCAGGTGTCTGTGTTGGGCAGGGCTCCCTGGGAACCAGGTCCTTCCTGGTCTAGAACACACGTGGTTCCCACTGGTTTCTCTCGCCTCTGGCATGGCTTTGCTCTCCACCTGCTCCCGAGTTCTGCTGTCTCTTACTAACCCTTCTCACTCTCCACCCCCTGCCAGGCAGGAACAGAAAGCCAGGTAGGGGCTGGCCCAGGCTGGGGTGGGGGTGGCTCCTCCAGATGTCCTCTCTACCTTCATGCTGGCCATCGAGTGGGGCATTTGGGTGTCCAAGGCTGTGTGCCGCAGCCGATGGCCGAGGGAGCCCTGGGCAGGATGTCCGACGTTGCCCTGGAGTTCCTGGCGCCCCTCTGAGGGAGGGGTTGTTTAAATCCCTGGAAGGTGGACTGGACAGGAGACGGTCAGAAAGTAGGTTCCGGGGAGCAGAACATCCCTGGGGCACAAGCCCAGGGCAGTGCGCAGTGGGCAGGGAGCCCGGCCAGCCCGCCCTCACCTGCTCTTGTCCCCGCAGAGCTCTGACAGCACCCCACCTGGCTACGAGCCCATCTCCCTGCTCGAGGCACTCAATGGCCTTCGAGCCATCTCCCCAGCCATCCCCTCGGCCCCCCTTTATGAAGAGATCACCTACTCCGGCATCGCGGACGGCCTGTCCCAGGCCAGCTGTCCACTGGCTGGGCTTGATCGGATCGTGGAAAGCAGCCACCAGAAGGGCAAGTCTCGGGGCAGATCCCCTGACAGGTGAGCCAGCGCAGGGGGACGCTTGCCAGTGGGCAAGAAGCGCAAAGCAGGTTTATTTGTAGCTTTAAATAATTTTAACACATTTTGTTTGGTGGTTTGCCAGAAATATTCTAAGACCAGTAGCGGGTTAGGCTCATGGCTAAGGTTGATCGTAGCAAAGGCAGCAGGAGAAAAATGCATCAGTGGAGGCCAGAGGCACCAGGGTCCCTTCCCGTCCCAGGCCCCAGGGGGGCAGCAAGCCACGGGGGGGGGGGTGTGTGTGTGCAGTGTCTCGGCCCAGGGGAACCATTTGAGTTTCAGGGTTCCAGGACTTTCTGGAGGTTGGTCACATGGGCACGTCCTGCTGTGTGACCAGTGACCCAGAAACCAGGCACCATCTCCCACCATGTTTATGCCGGAGGAGCTGGAGGGCAGGGCCCGTGCTCCAGGCGATCAGAGAGGATCATCGTCACTGGCATCAGGAACCTTCGAGGGTCACACGTGACGCTCAGGGGCCGGCCAAGGGCCCATTGTGGTTCCCTTGGACACTTGCGAGGCCCAGGTGACCAACACCTGCTGTGTTAAGTCTGCTCCCACATGTGCTGGGTTTTTTACTAAAAAAGAATAAAGGCACAGGTTCTATGAAACCAGCCGTGGCCCCTGTGACTTATGCATGTGGCTGAATCACTTCCAAGATACAGAAAGAAATGTGGGTCTCTGCTGCTTGTCACGCCCAGCTTTCCACCCCACACGATCGACCATTACGGGCCTGTCCTGGAAATAAAAGGCCGTGTTTAGGCATATGCCAGCCTCAGGTGGCTAGCCTCTGGTCTGGCTGGCCGTTACACCGCTGGTATCCTGCTGACGTGCACACCTTCCTGGGTGCGTCTGCTCTGTGGACCCTGGCACACATCTGCAAGCTCACCCCAGGTGGGGTTGGCATTTCTTGTCCACTAGTCCTCCACCTCCTCTTCTCTGTCCTCAGCACCTTGCGGTCCCCATCATCCCCCATCCATGAAGAGGATGAGGAGAAGGTCTCCCAAGACTCAGAAGCCCCTCCCCTGCAAAGTGGAGCCGGGCTGGTGCTCAGCAGCTCCCCAGAGGTGAGGTCCTGCCCTCCCCAGCCCTGCCCATCTGAGATCTGAGTCCTCACTGCGCACATGTTGGCCTCCCGGACCCGTGGCGTGGTATGCCCTGGGCCACTCTGCCACTCCCTCACTCAGTGGCCTTGGCCCAGCTGTGACTTCCCCTGCCTCAGTTTCCTCGTGTGTGGGGTGGGTGCTGGCAAAGGGGCTGTGTGTGAAGGACCCGGCAGATGCTGCAGCTTGCCCTGCGCCCTCCCCTGGCCACCTGCAGCCTGGTCCCTTGAGGTCGGCACCGGTCCTGGGTCAGTACCAGAGCTCCAGGGTCATTTTCCCCTTGTTTCCTAGAGTTTCCTCACGGAGGAGGTTGACGAGACATCGTCACTAAAGCAAGGTAAGACCTCTCTTCCCTGAGGGGCAGGGTTCTGGTACTCTGTGCCTGGGAGGGCCAGGGGCCTCTAGCTCAGCTCTCCTAGGGGTTTTCACAGAGCACGTTCGGTGCCCTCCTGGGAACCACACACATGTTTGCTGCATGATGTCCCAGAGCACAGCCTGGAGCCGTTCCTAGTTTTCCCCCTTCTGTCCAGTGTTGGGTAGCAGCAGTCATTTTATTTCCCGCCTGAATCACTCTGCATGCCATCACCCCTCCTCGCATGTCCTCCTGGACAGCTGCCCAGCCCGGCCTTGGGCTATGCCCGTCCCTTGGGGTTGTAGTCTTTGCGGTGTTGACTCAGGGTGGTCTCTATGTGGGCCTTGGGCCTGGCACAGCTGATGGCCAGGGTGTGGGCTCAGGGCGCAGTCAGCCCTGCCCCTGTGTGTCCAAGCCGCCCATTGCAGGGGAGGCTTGCGCCTCTTTTGACTGGTTGGTTTAGCACATAGCAGCCTGCAGGGGTCAGGTCCCAGCTGCCACTCAGATGCACTGGGCCTGACCTCACCAATGATGTGCCTCCCTCTGCTGGCTGGGGAGACACCATCCCTCCATTGTCCTGGTCATTACTCCCCAGTGTGGATGGATGAGGAAACAGAGGCTCAGGGTTAGTGTTGGGGGAGGCCAAGGCCCTTTAATTTGGAGGTAACATAGCCAGGAGGTGGCCCTCGCTGGCTGGCTCCCAAGCCTGCAGCACGGTAATGGCCTCCCAAATAACTGCAGCTGCTCTGTTGCTGTGACCCCTCCTTGCTGGGTGTCCCCTGGCCAGTATTGTATTGTGGGGACCCGGGTTCCTCCCAGGAGCAGCCCTTCCCGCACACAGGTGGGGCCTATCTATAGGCTGCTGGGCTGGGGCCCTCGGACTTGGGTGTGAGTGTGGGTACCCAGGGCAGGGTGCCTGGGTTAGGGGTGTTTGTCCCTGAAAGCATGGTGCCATCCCTCCCTGCCCAGTGTGGTGCAGGGTGAGCCCCCTGCCCGTCAGGCCTTGGCTCCCCGACCTCCCTCGGCGTTGGCCTCCTGCCTATGCACAGCGCATGTCGGGACCAGGCAGCCCTCTACAGGCCCCTTTCTGCAGATGGGACGACACCCTTGGCAGCACTGAGAATAGTGTGGGTTCAGGGCTGAGAGCTGATGTGTGAGAGGGGCAGCCAGACACATGGGGCCCCCCACTGGAGGTTCCGCAGGACCCGCTGTGGGCACATGTGGGCCACGGGCTGTTGCCCCACCTGCTCATCCGGAGAGATAAACGGGAGACAGTCACATCCGTTTCCATTTTACCTTGTTTTTTAAACAAGGGCATGTAATGTTTTTAGGATAAAAGTAAAAAGCCCCATTCTGGGGGAGTGGGAGAGAAGGAAAGAAAGGAATAAGAAACATCTGCCTCTGGGGTCCCGGGAGAGCACAGAGGAAGTGGGGTGGGTTCTAGGCCGGAGCCCGGGCCCACAGTGGCTGCAGCACCTTCAGGGACGGAAGATGGATTTGTGGGGCTCTCTGCCAGAGGGACAGCTGGGTCCACCCCTGCCTGTGGGTCCCTGACCTGCCCCTTCCTCTGCAGGGAGCCGAGTGTCCTCCATCGAGAATGTCCTGCAGGATGGCAGCCCCGAGCCCTGCGGCCGCAGCCACCCTGCTGACATCTACCTGCCAGGTAACAGCACTCAGCCTGTGGGCTCTGGGGGCATTCTGAGCCTGGGGTGGTGCCGTGACTGTCCCCAAGGAGCTGGGGGCCTGCTAGGCCTGGGGCAGTGCTATGACTGTCCCCAAAGAGCTGGGGGCCTATTCTGACTGCTGAGAGACAGGCTGACCTGTGGAGAACCCGCCCCGTCCCCCTGGCTCTGAGTCCACACTCCTTTCATTGACCCCCAAAGCACGGCCAAGTGCAGGGTCCATTGTCACCTCTCCTGCAGCCCTTGGCTCTTTGGCACAGAACCTGTGCCTCAGAGCCAGCTCAGCCTCAGGAAGGTGGGAAGGGCTGTGTGTTTAAGGACATAATCCTCGTCCCCATCTGTCTCCTGCTTGGGGCCAGGCAGCTCTGGTCCCACTGCCATTGCCGTATCTGTTTTCACCCATGGCTATGGCAGGCTTAAGCTGCTGCCCCAGGGAGGTAGGAACAAAACCACCTGCCTTCCCCACGCCTGACATAGGCCACCAGCTCTCCACTACCTGGCCAAGGTCCCAGGTGAAGCAGTGCCTCCCAGGGCAGGTGTGGGAAGACAGGCTGGGGTGCCGGGTGCCAACAAGGCCCAAGGCAGCAGGGAGGGGGCCTTCTCCTCCTCCCCTTTTCTGAGGCCTCCACCCCGGGCCCTGTGGCCTCAGCTTTTCTGCTCCTCTGGGCCAAGACCCTCAGCTCCAAGTCCTGGGCTCGAAAGACCAGGGGTGGGAGCTGGGGTTCTCCACCGCGCATGCTGGCACCTGCGAGGACTCCATCTGAGATTCTGGAATCAAGATAAATAGTCACATTGCCCCTCAGAGAGCCTGGCTCCTGCCACGTGGCCGGGAGCCCCTTCGTCTCCTGCCTGCCCCTGGAGCCACTGTTGCCTGGTCCACGGTGACCTGGCCTGGGCATTGGGGGCTGTGCCATGCTTTGGTTTGGAAAGGGCCTCTCATCCCCCATGTCAGCCTCTGGACGAGCAGTGGCCTGTGCAGACAGGGTCACCAGGTGTGAGGAAGCAGAACAGCCATTGGTTCACTGGCACGTATGGGCCTGCCCATAGGGACACCTACAGGGAAAAGCCATACACACCTTAGAGTGACACAGAATTCTAGTAAGTTCCTTCAGAGGACTCCAAGTACTTCATTGTGATTAAAATTTGGGGACAGGGGACCAGGAGAGGGACTCGGTTTCCTGGAGTATGAGTCCTGATCTCACAGGATGGCTACGCTGTGGCCCCCTGGGGCAGTGAGGGGCACCCTTCCCCCCAGTGAGTGGCCCACAGAGTGATCAGGGATGTGACAGCTCACAGCCACTGGGTTCAGCCCAGGAGTGAGACCAGAACCTCTGGCTGTTGAGTCCACCAACCCCCCAGGCGAGTGTCCGGGGCCTGTAGCTTCACATGTGGAGTGGGAGGCAGGTGGCTATGGAGGTGGCAGAGACGAGGCCGGAGTCTGCATCCGGGCCTGACTGGATAACGGTGGGCGACGTCCTGCTCCTGGGCCTAGGCCCCAGCTTGGCTCTGCACCCTGCCCATTCTGCAGGGCAAGGTGGGTTCTCGGTGGCTCTCAGAGGAGAGAGGAGGTGGGCGCTGTTAGCATCCTGCGTCTGCTCCCCACAAGCACCTCTGATTGCAGGTGGGGGTGGCGGGCAGGGGTCCTCATGGATGTGCGCACCTTTGTGAGTGTGTACCTGTCATCTTCCAGTCACGTGCCGGCACCTTTTATCCTACTACTGGCTTCTTGACTTAGTGGAGACCTGAACGTCTTTCACATCTGTGTGTGTTTCAGAATGTGAGCACACACAGGCATCTTCATGCTTTATAGCAGCTGCACAGCCGTCCCTGGGCGGATAGAGCCTGACTTAGTGAACCTGAGTATCCCCTGTTGATGGGGGGGAAAGGACATTGGGAGGAAATCCGTAAATGGCGAAAACCTAGATGCTTGGCGTCCCGGCAGCCCTGTGGGGTGGGGGCCCTTCCTGGGCTCCGCCTTCCCTCTGGGCTCAGCCCCACCCAGCCCCCAGCCTTGCTCGGCCCCCAACCCCTGTGTGCGCTAGAATTGGGCCCAGTGCTTTCTCAGGAAACATTTTCAGCCTGGCCCTTGTTTGTTCCAGCACATTCTTGTGTGTGGGCATTTCCTTTACAGCCCCCTCTGCCCTCAGGGCAGCTTGTCCTAAAGCCAGTGCATCTGCTGTGGAATGTGCTGGTCTACCGAGCCTTGCTAACCAAGCTTCCGTCTCTCTCCCCCTCTGCACAGGCCGGGGGCCCGACTCCTGCTCTGTTGGTATAGAGGAGTAAGCTGGTATGTGATCACCCTTATACATGTGGCGGGGTGGCTCCCAGGGGCGTCCTTGCAGGGGGCTGGAGAGAGACCCCCCCAGCTGCCCCTCCCTCTCCTGCTCCCTCCATGGGGGTTCCTTCCCGTCTCCCAGGCTTCTACATCTGGGTCTTCCCCGTGGGCCTGGGCTCTGAAGCCACACCTCTCCCAACTGCCACACCTTTGCCCTGAAGATGTGGTCCTGGGTTCTGACGCTGCCTTCGGGGCCAGAGGTTCTTGCATCGGGACCAGGTGGCCTCGGCAGGCTCTTCCAGCCTTTAGGGTCCCAGGAATGGGGACCCAGCCCTAGCTGAGATCCCACCATTGCTGCTACAAACCTGTCCTCCACCCACCTCTGGAACCTTCCCGAACACCAGCACCCTCTGGTATCAGTCCATGAGGCGGCCATGTGAGGCTGACTCCCCTCCTGACAGGGAGATGCCCTCTACCTGGGTGACCCAAGCAGTTGTTTCTCAGAAGGCGGTTAGGCCATATGCTTTGGGGACCCTCTTACCCGCCTTCATGTGACGTTAGCGGCTCTGGGAAGCCTGGTGATAGAGGAACTGGCGCCTTTGGTAGCCCAGGGTTTCCCAGACGTGTGTGGTGTGGCGCTCCAGCAGCACCCCGGCCCGTCCTGGACGTGCGCCAGGCTGCAGTGTCTGTCCGCTTGTTTTGATGGCTGCTCTTATATCCCCACACAAACCTCTCTTGTCCCCATCACACATTTCTTCTGACACATCTTACCCTCTATTGAAATGGGGCCCGACACGTTTATAAAGGTGGCCCTGGCCTCTGCAGTGGAAGATGTTGAATGTTGCGATTCAGGTAAAATTTCCATAAGTAAGAAAAACCGGTCAGGCCGAGCTACAGAGAGCTGTATACTGCCTGCGGGCTGCGTGGCAGAGCTGACGTCCTGCACGTAGCCACAGCTCCTAAGAAAATAGTCCCCTCACCCAAGGATCTGTGTCTCAGGTGACCGGTAGCCAAAGCACTGCTTGGTTTGCTATTAGGAGGCACCCTGTAGAGCCCACATCAGGTGGGTGACGGTGGCCGCGCGCTCTGCAGCCCTGAGAAGTGTGCTGGTCCCCTCCGCTGCTGCAGCGCTGGGTCCGGGCTCCCCACACCAGCACCTGGGGGGCAGGCCCGGTCCAGGGACAGATGTGTCACGGCACTGGGGAGGTGGCAGTGTAGAAAGAACAGAGCAGGCCTCTGAGGAGGGCAGGTGGGACTCTTGGAGCTGCTCACCCGGGCCTGAGTCCACTCACCTCAGCCTGGGGCTGACCAGGTCCCAGCCTAACCCAGTCAGGAAGCTCTGCGGACAGTGGCTGCCCAGATCCCAGGAGCACAGACCATGCGAGGGCTGGAGACCTGGGGGTCAGCAGCCCCAGGGGCTCTGTCCTGTTCTGGGGGGTGATCTGCTCCTACAGGGACAGCCTGGCTCATGTGCCTAGACTGGAGTCCCCAGGCCTTCTGTGTAGTCTGCCGCAGACATGTTTACACAGTGCAGGGTGCTGGGTGGCCCTGCCCTCTGGTCTCGCAGTTGGTGGGAACCCAGAGCCTGGCCGGTGAAGGGAGCAGGTGAAGCGGGACTACCTGGTGGAGCCTGACCCTCCTCCTCCCTCTGCTCCCACCTGCAGGATGGTCCACCTCCATGGAGACGCCCCGCAGCCTCTTCACCACTGGTCCCGCCTGGCCTCCACTTAGTGGCCCCAGTCCCGACCCCAGGGTTACCGAGCTGACCCCACTCTGAGAGCCTGGCCAGGCTGGCAGCATGGAGCCCTCAGCTCCCCAGACTTTGCGGAGGGGCCATCTGGACTCCAGGCCTCTTCTGTCTGCACGCCCTTTGTAGCCATGACTCCAAGGGGCCGTGTGACCGTTGATTGAAGAGCACAGTGGACTGTCCCCTTGACAAATCCCTTTTTCTACGGTCGCTGTATTTGTAAATGGTACAAGATGACGGACAGCTGCTTTCTGTCCCGGGTACTGAGCTCTGGGGTCTCCCCAAATGTCCTGTTGACTAAGCAGCCCAGGCTGGGGGCTGTCCACCCACATGTGCCCGATTTGGCTTCGCCTAGCCCCCCGGCCAGTGGGGGGTTGACACCCTAGAACTCAGCAAACTGGTAGAAGAGGATTTATTGGTGGGTGAAGCGCTGTCTTCATCCGAGGTGTTATTGGGGGGGTTGTTGTCAGGGGTGGAAAGGAAGTGGGGTCAGCTTCACGGTCGATGACGGAAACAGTGCCTCTCCCCTACCCCCATGTGCGTGGCCTGGCTGGCGCTGCTGCTTTGTGCCCTCTGTTGCTTCCCCTGCCCCGCTCAGGCCCTTTGGTGTAGGGCCACCTGTCACAGCTTGCAGCCCTTCCCCACGGCCCTGCCCTCTGGGCAGCCCTGGCATCCGCACGTGAGGCCAAGGTCTGCGTCTGCCCAAGGGAGCAGGTGCACAGCCTGTTGGCAGCGGTTGGTCTGGTGGCCCCTCTCCAAGCTCTGCGTCTTCTCAGAGGTGGCTTTGCCCACCTTCCCAGACTCCCTTCAGCAAGAGGCTTTTGCCTGGCCAGTGACGCTGCTGCCCACCTTACCCGGGAGGGACCTGAGCAACTTCTCTGCTCCCTCTTTGCCATTTTAAACATCACTTTGTGTTTCTCTTTGATTTGTTCTGTGTGGGACTCCTGTGGTGGGACCTGCCTGGGGGAGGAGGGTCCCATCTGAGGTCCTCGTCTTTTTTATAGGACAAGCCTCCTGGGCAACAGAAAGGCAGAGGGAGTGCCAGCCCTGGTGCAGCTGCGTACAAGCTGCCCTAGCAGGGACATTGGCCTGGTGGGTGGGTGTGTGCAGCTCCCCATGGGGGCCACCACTTCTGGGCTTGGGAGGAGCCGCTTTATGACGAGCTGCCCTGGGAAGGATGGTTCTGGGGTGGCCAGCAGCCATCCACAGAGCATTGGTGCAGCCAAGGGCTCTGTCCAGGCGGGTCCTCGGTCTCCCTCCAGCTGGGCCTGTCAGCAGAGCGCTTCCTGTGTACAATTGTCAGCCATGCTGAGGCTGCCTGCCCCGGCTGCTTGCCTCACCTCCCCTACCGCCCACCGTGTGCTCGTGGATGCACACGTGCCACTGTGCATGCACACACATACAAGCACACAGGCTGGCCGTCTCCCCCCGCCTCGCCCTCGCCACCTGCCAACGCCCTGGCCTCGCGCTATTGGTATCGGTGCCAGTCCTCTGAAGGACGGGATGCAGACTGCCCTGTCCTGGATTTACATGTGCTATCATTTGATGTATTCTGATTGGCTGGTTTTTGTTCATTTTTACTGTATATTTATAGTAATAAAATCATGCAGCAATATCCTGTCCGCTCCTTTCTCCACACAGCACCGAGGGACCTCAGCTGTTTCTTGGTCAGGAGGCAGGACAGCTGCGTAGCTAGTGGTGGCTTCAGCACCTTGACTGCAGTGCGAGTGCCTGCTTGTAGCCACAACCTCTGCTTCCTCATGTGTAAGACAGTGCAGTCTGACTCCAGGAAGGGGCGAGGACTGCCTGAGCCGCAATGTGTGATGCTGCTGGGCACTGTTTTGACTCTCGTGCTGATTCTTGGGTTGGAGTGAAGGGTGTCTGGGGAGTCTGCTCAATCTTCTGAGCAGGTGGAGAAGGAGCCCAGGGCCTCCAGGTGTGTGACACGCTGCTGCAGTCCCCACCTGCGTTGCCGATTCATCTCACAGATGTTTCCTGAGCACCTACTGTGTGCCAGCAGAAGGCAAGGTCCAGGACCCTGGGAGCCTGCGTTCTAGTCAGTGAGACTCACTGCGTTCTAGTGAGACTGTGCAAGTGACTCCACATCTTCCCAGGCTTGGTCACCATTAGGAAGAGAATCAGCAGGTGACAAGATGGAGTCACATGGGGGACTTAATTTAACCTGTGGTCAGGGAGGACTATTCTGAGGAGACATTTCCGCTGCATCCTGAAGGATGTGAAGGAGCTGGCCCTGGAAGAGCACCCCAGGCAGCTGGCACAGCAAGTGCGAAGGCCCAGAGGCAGGAGTGACCCTAGTTGTGTCCACTGAGTGGAAAGAAGTGCGAGTGGCTGGAGTGTCGGAATTCAAGGGTGTTGTGCAGACACCGCGAGACCTTTTAGGGGCAGTGAGACTTTTATTCTAAGAACAATCAGAGGTTTTCAAGCAGGGGAGTGACTCATGCCAGCGGTCCTGTGGAGAATGGATTAGAAGGGCAGTAAGACAAGCTGGTGTCCCAGAATTCTCAGCTCCTTTGCAAACTCGGTTCCAATTTGCCTCTGTGGAACCCTCCTTTGACTCAGGTGCTCTGGAGTGGAACCACTGTTCTTGGCTGGCGGGGGAAGGCCTGCCACCCTCGGTTGTGCTTGGGTTTAGCATGGTCCCAGCGTGAGTGGAAGGGTGCTCAGTGTCTGATGGGCTCTTGCATGGGCTACACTGGATCTCCCTCACTTCCCCCAAGTGGACCCACCGCCTTTGTTAATGTCTGGTGTCAGGGAGGGGTTGGGGCTAGGGTGCCGTTCCTCTGTGACCCTATCCTGCACTGGCCTTGAGCCTGGGTCATGCATGCCCTGCAACCTGGAGACAGGGCCCTCTCTGGATGGGCCCTTGCCGTCGCTAGCTAACCTCTCCCCTTCAGTCACTTGTTCTGGGATCTGGCCTCTCCATGTCAGCTGCAGCTGCCCCTCTGAGCCCTGACGCTGGTGGAAGGCCACAGCTGGGGAGAAAGCCTCCCTCTTTGGGTCTTTATTCCTCACATTTCCTGACAGAACACACCATGGACCAAACATGTGTTTCTGGTGGATCCCACCAACCGTTGCCTGCCCTCTGCCCCCAACTCTCCATCCCTGTGCCACTGTTTGTCCTCACCGCATGGCTGTCTTGAAGTTATGCCCAGGGCACCCACCCTGAGTTCCTCCACTCAGCAAATCCATGCCCACCATGGGGAGGAGCTTGGGCCAGCTGGTGGGGTGAGTGGCACCAGGACTCCGGAGACCCAGCAGCTTCCTTCTGCACAAACAGGGTAAGTACCTGAGGCGGAAGGCGGGAAGTTTCCTGCTGTGGACACTAGGTAGGAGACAGGGTGGGAATTAGAGTAGGATTCAGACTCTGTCACCAACTTTGGAGTGCCTCTAGGCAAATCCTGCTCCTCTGAGCCCAGGGTCCTCTGGGAAACGGGAGATCCCAGTACCTGGCATGTTTTCCGACTTGGAGGGTACTTGGGGCACTTGGCTGGGTAGCTCCCAGCCGGGGACTTAAATTACTTCGGCCCTAGCTGACTCGGTGTGGAGAGCCCCAGGGCTCCTTGCCATCCACCCCCAGTCTAAGGCTGAGCATGGTGGACTTGAGTGCTTAACAGGTGGTAGGCGCCCAGGATTGTGGGGCTGGCGTGCGTGCAAGCAAGGGTTGGGCCCTCTGGAGACGGCAGGAGGCTCCCACGCGCCCAGGGAGGCTCTGGGGGAAGGCACGCTACTAGGTCCGGCCCAGGGCGATGTGATCACTGGGGATCCCGCTGTCCTCCGGACTAGCAGTCTCGAGTCCCGTGCGGTCCCCACCCATAGGCTCCGCGGGCCGGAGGCCTGAAGCCCGAGAAGTGGAGCAGGGCTGGCGCGTTGCATCCTGGGCGTTGTGGTTCTCGAGGGCCGTGGGCGGGTCCTCCGCGCGGGGTGCGCGGCTATTGGGTACCGAATGGGGCGCGTGCCGCCTCAGCCTGTGCACACGCCCTTTGCTCCCCTTAACGACGCGTCGGAGCGCCGCGGTGGGTCCCGCCCCGGCGTGCGTCAGCGATTGGTGGAGGGGTGGGCCCCAGGGACGCGGCTGCTCGCGTATTGGCTGGGGGCAGCAGGGTGGCTCGCGCACGCTCTTAAGGGGAGGTGCTCGGACCGCGGGGGCAGTGCTAAGATGTCGGCAGCGGTCCCGGAGCTGAAGCAGATCAGCCGGGTGGAGGCGATGCGCCTGGGACCGGGCTGGAGTCACTCGTGCCACGCCATGCTTTACGCTGCCAACCCCGGGCAGCTCTTCGGCCGCATCCCCATGCGCTTCTCGGTGCTGGTGAGGACGCGGGAGGGCGGGCGGGGGCCGGGGCGCCGCTCGGACCCGCGCCCGTGACCCGGCGCTCCCTTGCAGATGCAGATGCGCTTCGACGGGCTGCTGGGCTTCCCCGGGGGCTTTGTGGACCGGCGCTTCTGGTCGCTGGAGGACGGACTGAACCGGGTGCTTGGCCTGGGCCTCGGCTGCCTTCGCCTCACCGAAGCCGACTACCTGAGCTCGCACCTGACCGAGGGCCCGCACCGCGTCGTGGCGCACTTGTACGCTCGGCAGCTGACGCTGGAGCAGCTGCATGCCGTGGAGATTAGCGCGGTGCACTCGCGCGACCACGGCCTGGAGGTGGGCCCGCCGTCCGGGCCCCGCTCCCCACCCCGGGGTTTGGCTCTGGCTCCGCGGAAGGCACCGATGGGTAACACGTTCCCCTAAGGGTCATCTGGCGGGGCGGGGTGGGGAGAGACCGGGGGTACGGGTGGGGCTGGGGCTCCCTCGGGGCTGTGTTCCATCTGCCTTGCTGCCTGCCATTGCCAATCCTGGGATTGGGGAGTGGGATTGGTTGGGGGGATGGGATGGAGCTGGGAAATTGAAGAGCAGAAAGGGGAACTTGTGCTGGGAGGGAAGGAGATTGGTATCTCGTGGTGGTGAGGTTGAAGGATCTTGCGATTTGAGGGGTTTATGGTCTGGAGTGATACTTGGTGTGTTTGGGATTCACTGGCTGGAAGGGGAGCATGGGGTATGTATGGTCTGCCAGTGGATTGGGAGCTGGGACTTGGGGACGCAGAGTTTTGGGAAGTGCATGAGGTGGCCTTGAAACTCGCTTGGGGAGAAAGGGGCTGCACTGCTCCAAGGAGCTGGCCGGCTTTTTGCCTTACCAGACCCTGCTGTGGTCTCCCATTATGCCCTTGGCCACCTGACTTCCCTTCCCATGGCCTAGCAGCTCAGAGGCCCCTCCTCCCAGGTCTGGGCCATCGGTCTGGAGCCTAGCCCCAACCCTGGTCTCCTGTGTGCAGGTGCTGGGGCTCGTGCGGGTCCCGCTGTACACCCAGAAGGACCGAGTTGGTGGCTTTCCCAACTTCCTGAGCAATGCCTTCATCAGCACGGCCAAGTACCAGCTCCTCTTCGCCCTCAAGGTGCTTAACATGATGCCAGAGGAGAAGCTGGCTGAGGCCGTGGCTGCAGCCACGGAGAAGCAGAAGAAGGCCCTGGAGAAGCTGCTCCCGTCGTCTTCCTGAGGTTGCTCCTGTGCTGCGTGTCTGTCCCCCTCCCCTGGCTCTGTCTGTGCCTGTGGGCTGAGACTGGGCCCTGAATTCCTGTGGGAATGTCTCTGTTTGTCCCCATCCTGACTGCCTGGGGCAAGTGGGCACCTCATCTCCACTGCCCCGAGCAGTCATGGTGCCAGCTGGGACCTCAGGTTGGTCAATGGGTGGCCTGGGGGTGCCGGGCCTGGCCCTCTAAGCTCAGGACGTTTTCACCCACCTCTGCAAGTCTTGGACTGCTAGAGGCCCAGGTACCCCCGGTTCTTCAAGTGGGTAGGTGCACACGCAATGAGAAGTTTGATCTAGTGGAGGATGCCTTTATCTGGGCTACTTCTGCATCCTGCCCCAGGCCCACCCTAGCTCAGGTGGGATGTTATATTGTTAACCTTGGCTATTGTTAGCTTTACTTCGTTAGATTTCCTTTTCTGTGGTATGTGAACTGTGGGTGAGGCTTCAAAACAGCTTTACCCCACTGGGGCTCAGTCTCTTAGGATAGTCAGGGCCATGGGCTCAGCTGTAGTTGTTGGAGAGGGACAGTTAAGTGGCTCCTCTGCTACTGTTTTTGGTTCTAACCGCAGGCCCAGGGCTGGGCACAGGAGGTCATCTCCGTCCTCTTCCCACTACCCAGGACTTGAGGACAGGGCCAGGCCAGGCCCCAAGAGTGCTGGGCACTGTTCGAGGGGCGAGCTGCCTCAGGACCCGTCTCAGTTGGGGGTGCTGTGTATCCCTGTATTTACCTGTGGCACTGCCAGCCTCCGACCTCTTTGGGCCATCAGCTTGGCCCGGGGCGTCTGCTGAGACCATCCATGTGAGGCCCTGTTCCTGACCCGGATGGCTCTGGCTGTACCTGGTCTGAGCCTGCTGCTGTTTCCTGTGCTTTGAAAGCCTCCCTTTCTCCATTCCCAGTATGGTCTGCAGGCAGCTCCCCGGGATGGTCTGGAGACACCACAGGCAGGAAGGTCACCACTGGCGGTCTGTGGCCCTGTGTCTGGCAAGACTCCTCAGTGAAGCTACTGGGAAGTTTCCACAGTGCCTGCCCCGCCTGGCCTCTGATCTACCTTAGAGCCTCGATGAAGCAGCCACACTGGGCAGAGGCACTTCACTCTGTAAATAAAAGACCTGTACCTTGCTCCTCTCTTATTTCCTGGGGTGTGGGGGCATGCGTGGCTCTCCAGGGAGCCTCTATTAATCATGGGGGCTCTGAGCAAAGGTGGCCCTAGCTGCAGGGACAAGGGGACAAGAGGGGTCACCAAGTCAGCGCCACTAGGAGTAGCGTTCTGTCCTGGCGGAGGGGCTGGGCCTCAGTGGGTCACTGCAGCTGGCGATCTTGGTGTGGCTTTCCCCTTGCTTTGCTCTGTCAGCCAGAATGGCGTGTTGTGAGACCAGAATTGAGCCCCTCACCAGATGATCTTCAATTTTATTTTCCAGCAAATACCATGCTGCCCAGGCGCCCCAGTCCTCACCCATCAGGGCAAGCCTGAGTGTGGCGCCTGCTGTGCGTGGGGACATGCCCTCTCCCCAAGGCCCTGCCTGCTCTGGGCCTTGCTGCCAGGTTCTGGGCGAGAAGCCCTCGTCCTGCCTCCATGGGGTCCTCCCTGCTTGGCACCGGCCACAGCCCGGTCCTGCCTCTCTGCCAGCTGCTCCCGGGGGCCGATCCTCTGGCCCCACCTGAGGCCTCGGCTGCTGCAACTGCCCGCTCACTGCCCTCGTTTTCCGGGCACACAGCTTCAGGGTGGATCAGTCACCCGACGTCAGATTCTGAGAAGGGCAAGAGGACTGAGGTGGGTGCTCACTCAGCTCCCAGCAGACCCTGCTGGCCTGGCCTGGGTCCCGAGCTGGCTGACACTCACCGTCCCTCCGGCTAAGGCTCCCGCCAGTTCTCTTTTCCATTCAGCACCTGCAGCTTCTCCAGGCCCTGGGTCACTGAGCATAGTACTCGCCCTGAAAATAGGAGCAGACCATCACTGCTTTGCAAGCCTGGGCAGCAGTGGGAGGAGGGACACCCTTGGGGGCACTGGGACTGGATGACCAGGAGGGTCAGTAGGCTGTGGTGGGGCTGCCTTCAGGGTCTGAGCTGACAGGGCTCTCCTGTTACCCCACATAAGGTCCCTGGGTGGGGGCAAAGGCCACTGGCTTCCGTCCCAGAGACTCACCCATCTCATGGACTCGGTCCTCCAGCGCTCCTGATAGCTCGGGGAGGCTCAGGGCCTGCAGGGAGGCCTGGCAGCCTTTGGAGTCTGGGGGGCAGAGGGCTGGGTGAGCCTCGGGTCTGTGCTCACAGGCTCTGCCTCTGCCCTGAGCCACTGTGAGCAGGAGACCCACCCAACTGTCAGTGCCAAACAGCCCCTTGTGTCTGTCTGTTGACCAAAGTACTAACTGCTAACCAGGGCCCGGCCCCAGGAATGAAAATGGGGTGGGGGTCCCTGGCCTCCCAACTGGAGGCTACAGAAGTCACTTGAGGTCTTAGACCAGTCGGCCACAGCTCATGGGCTCTGCCACCACCAAGAGGGGGAAACGGGCTGGGGCAGGCAGGGTGCCCTCACCTGGGTCTGGGATTGTGTGTGCGAGGGGACCTGTGTGATAACTGCAGAGACAAGTGTAAAACCCAGCCTGAGGAGGCGTCCTTGCCCGCTGCCTGCCCAGCCTGGGGCCAGGACGCTGCTCTCCTTACCAGCTGTGGGGAAGGCTGGGCCCAGGGTGGCCCCAGGAGGGGACTCGTCCCGCTTCACTCGGGCTGACAGCTCGGCCTGACAGGCTCTGCCGGACACAAGACCAAGTGCGGGTAAGGGGAGAGGCCTGGGGATGCGTCCCATGGTCCCAGAAGGCGGGGATGGCAGACACCCCACATCCCTGAGTGTCCCCGCAGCCTGCCTTCCTCGGGTTGGCACGCACCCTTGTGTAGCACCTGTACTGACAAGCTCGGGGTGGAGACCCGGGCAGAGAACCTGCAAAGGGTGTGCAGGTTTTCAGGGCCCCGTTGCTGCCTGGTCTGCCCTGCAGGAAGGAGCAGCCAGAAGGAAATGGGGGTAGCAGGGAGTCATCCTAGGAGGTTTTGAAAGCAAGTCCTTCATTGAATCTGGAGAAAAGAAAACTCAGGGCCTGGCCCAGGGCCAGCGCAGGCACCCACTCACCGCAGCTGCTCCAGGACGAGAGCAGCGTCTCGGGCCAGGGCCCAGGTCTCCTGCAGCTGGGCAAGCACATCCTTGCGGGCACCATCCTGCTCCAGGAGGCAGCTCTCCACCACAGCCCGCAGCTCCTGCTCCTGGGACACCTGGCCCCGCATGGCCTCCACCTCCTCACAGCGCTGCAGCGGGAGAAGGGGGGCGGGCAGGCAAGTGGGCCGGGGGATGCAGGGGACACGGCCGGGACCCACCCCCCTGCCCACCCCCGTTTCTGCTGTCCTGACTCTCCTGGACTGGAGTGGGTGCTGGCTCTACCTCGCAGCCTCCCCTGCTTTGGGTCGCTTCCCATGAGCCCTCTGGTGTCCACGCTGGATGCTTGTTCTCTGCCCTCATCCTGTCTCTTCTCACCTGTGTCCATCTGACCTCCCGCCTAATATCCCCTAGCTTTCTGCACCTTCTTCCTGGGTGCCTGCCTGCATGTCTCCCCTTCAGGGCAGGAGCTGTAATGTGTCCTATCGCTGGCTGTGTCCTCTCCAGGTCTCACCATTTCTGCACGTCCCCTCCCAGTTCTTCCCATTTACTTTGTGCAGCTGGATGGCGAGCTCCTGCATCTCAGCTTCCAGCCGGTCAGCATACGCCAGCTCCAGGGCGTCACTGGGGGGGCGGGCACTGCTATGCCAACGGGCAATGGCAGAGGTCATCTTCCTCTTGGGCCCAAACAACCTGCAGTGGAATGAGAGGACTCAGACCAGCACTGCCGCGTGGGTGGAGGCTCTACTGACTGTCCTTCCATAAAGATGGTTCCCCCTAGGAAAGATCCCATCCTTGAAGAGGAGTGGCCCTGGGAGCCTGCAGAAGAGGACAGAAAGGGTAGTAAGAAGTGGCGACCCCACCCCTCCCCAGGGAGCAGTCCCCTCCCTGGCCCGCCTGCTGCCTTCACTAAACGGAGTTCAGCCCCTGGACAACCATCTGCCAACTCGGAAGCTCTCAAAAGTGAATGAGCAGAAAGATGTCTGGGTGTCCTGAACGCAGCACTTTCAGCTGGGCCAGCTGGGGGCCCTCAAGCTACAGGACCCAGGTCACCTACATCTAAGCCAGGAGCAGCTGTAGGGATGGACAGGGGACAGCCGACCTCTCAATGCAGGGAAGCTGCAGCCCCAGCTGGCCCCACAACTTTGGCTGGAACAAGGGACAGGCAGCCACAGATGGCCCCTCTGGACTCACGTGATGCCGATTTCCTTCAGGTCGCTCTCGGTGAGGGTCAGGAAGATGCGGAGGTCCACGTCCTGCTCCTCAAACAGCTGCAGGTACTTTAGACACCCGATCTGCTCCAGCAGCGTGGCGAGATCCTAGGGGCAGAGAGGAGAGGCCAGGATAGGTCAGAAGGCCAGCAGGGGACAAGAACATGGGGACAAGAAAACGCACACGATGGCTTTTCTCCTGCTAAGCCTGTATTGGTGAGGTTGCTTAGAAGAGGGAGCTCTGAGCCCTGCGGATCCCCCAAGTTCAGCAGTGGGACAGTGACTTGACTGCAGGTGGAGAGCCCAAGCTGCCCCTTCTCTCTGCCCTCAAGGAAAGTCCACTTGTGTCTTTGAATCGAGTGTTTTCATTTCTGCCTGAAGGACACCTTTAGTGTTAATATTTCCTGCTAACAGTAAATTCTCTTAGTCTGTGTGTAGCTGGGACTGTCTTAATTTCTCTTTCCCTTCCAAAGGATAGTTTTTGGTGGACATAGCATTCTTGGTTGAGTTATTTTTCTTTCATTACTTCGAATATGTCATCAAATGTCTTTGGTCTCCATGGTTTCTGATGGAAAATTAGCTGTTAAATCTTACTGAGATTCCCTTGCAGGTGATGAGTTACTTCTCTCTTGCTTCCTTCAAGATTCCCTTCTTTTTTGACAGTTGCATTATGATGGGTGTAGGTGTAGATCTGAGTTTAACCTACTTAGATTTCATTTGTTGGGTTGTCGGAAAAGTTATGACGTATTTTTTCTATGTTTTTCATTGCAAAAATGTGTCATGACTTTTCCAACAACCCAATAGCTTCTTGAATGTGCAGGTTCATGTTTTTGATCAAATTTGGGGAGGTTTGGCTATTTTCAAAACATTTTTTGCTTTCTGTTCCCACTTCTTCTGGAGCACAGTGTGTGTTGGATGCTTGATGGTGTCACAGGTTTCTGTTCATTTTTCTTCATTCTCTTTCTCAAATTGGACAATCTCAGGTGGTCGATGCAAAGTTTTCTAATTCTTTCTTCTGTGTGCTCAAATCTACTGTTGAGCCCCTCTGGTGAAATTTTCATGTGAGTTATACTTGTCAAGTCCAGAATTTCTACTTAGTGCATTTTTATTTCTGTCACTTTGTTGGTAGTCTCTATTTAGACATGGTTTCCTTTAGCTCTTTGAACATATTTTTTTAAAGCTGATTCTTTGCTGAGTAGCTCTGTATGCTTGTTGGGGCATATCTTCAACACCCAGCCAGGCGCATGACAGCTCTACCTTAGCCTTTCCTTCCTGTCTGCTCAGAGCCTCAAGGTCATCAGAGGTATTCTCAGGTCTTTCCTGACCACACACACAGCCTTGAGCATGTAAGGGGCCTTCTAGATTCCCGGGAATAAGTTAGAGCTTTTCAAAACTCCTATGGACATCACCTTCCCCAGCTTTTCCTTTTAAGCTTTATGGTTAATCTTTTTACCCAATTGTTTTCCAACACCTCAGACAGCTGCAAAGTTAAAATATTTCCCTGTGATTATTTTCAACATATGTCCTTCAAGGAGGGCTTTGGTGTTGGACAGACAAGCTCTGCGTCAAGTCAGATACAGCCTCGTATTATAATTATGTTCTCCTAGGGAACCATCAGACAGGTCCAGCAACACCAATTCTCTGAAAATGAAACTCTGAAAGCATTCCAGCTCTGCCCTGCCCCTCCAGTGGCTGTTACAGCTGCCCTCAACCTACTTTTTGCAACAGCCTTAAGATCCCACCATCACCACCAGCTCTCCAATCGACATGCATTTAAGGAATGGAGAGGTGCAGCTGCTTGCTGAGCCTTGGGAATATGGACCCTGGAGAGAACTCCCTGGAGGGGTTGCAAGGAGAACCCAGCAAAACCACAGGGTTCTAGTGAACAGCAGAGCTGTGCCTTGAACAAATAAATGGCAAATAAGTACCTCTCTGTCATTCATCTTGGTACCACCTATGCCCACAGAGAGCAGGAGAATTCAATAAACACATATTAGATAGTTGAGCTGCTGTGTCGCACCTGTAATCCCTAAAAAATTGCTTAGCCAGAGCGACCCACGATGAGGCAGGCAGAAATACCAATTTTCACTGAGTGCTTACTGTGTGCCACTATGTCTGCTTCACATGCATCTTGTCATTGACCCCTCAAAGCAGCTCTCAAAGATGGGTCCTGTTTTTTCCTCTCCAGGCTCAGGGAGGCTGAGTCGAATACGGAAATGAGTATAATTAAGGGGAGAGACAGATCCCTCCTGTGGAAAGAGATGGACACAAACCCTGCAACTAGCCTCCAACCTTAGGAATCCTCTCAGCTCAAGAATCTTTACAGGTCATTTGGGGGAAAAGCACCACCACTCTCTTCCCTCAACAGTGCCTGGCCCCCATGAGTACACAATAACTGCCTCAGAAACCACACAAAGTGCCGTCTTTCTAACAGTGTAACCGCCAGTTTCACAAATGGTCTTACCTGGGGTCCTGAATAGGCGGACCTCTCAGACTGGGGGATAGATCCTGGGGAACAGGCTGCCCCAGAAGTTCCGGTGCTGGGAGGCCACTGGTTGTCACTGTTGCTGTAACGATTCTTGGTCTTCATATAACTTTTAGTTTGTTTTCGAACCGAACTTTTACGTGTATGATCCGAATCCTGTAGCAAGAGGTGTGTGTTTAAAGTAACACTGAAGGACTATTTATAAGGGAAATGCAAATTAAAACCACCATGAAATATCACCTCACACCTGTCAGAGTGGCTATCATCAATAAATCAACAAATAAGCGTTGGCAAGGATGTGGAGAAGAGGGAACCCGCGTACACTGCTGGTAGGATTGCAAATTGGTGCAGCCACTATGGAAAACAGTATAGAGGTTCCTCAAAAATTAAAAATGGAGACGCCATACAATCCAGCAATTCCACTTCTAGGTATTTATCCCAAGAAAACAAAAACACTAATTCAAAAAGATATACAGGGGCCGGCCGAGTGGTGCGTTGGTTAAGATCTGGCTTGGGACGCCAGAGGGCCCGGTTCAGATCCCACATATGAGGGCCAGTGACGCTGCCCTCTACAGCTAAGATGCTGAACAAAGATCGACCTGGAGCTGGGCTGCCGTGAGTCACTGGCGACAGCATAGGCTGCAGCCCCTGTGGCAGTGGGTTGCCATGGGCTACCGTGTGTAGCCAGCAGCCAGCGTGAGCGGCCAGCAGCCTCAGTGAGCGGCTGTCCAAAAGCCGGTGACTGATCTGCCTCGCCTGGGAAGAGCGCAATGATGGTGCCAACTTGGGCCAGTGAAACAACGTCCTCCACAACTAGACTGAAGAACAAAACGACAGCAACTTGTCTGTTCCCCTTCCCCCAATTCCCCAGCACTGTTCCCATCCCCCAATTCCCCAATAAAAATCTTAAAAAAAAAAAGATATACATACTCCTATGTTCATTGCAGCATTATTCACAGTAGCCCAGATATGGAAGCAACCTAGATGTCCATCAATAGATGAATGGACAAAGAAGATATGGTACATATACAGAGGGTGCCAAAAAAATGTATACACTTTTTTTTTTAAAGCTGAACCATCCTGCTACCTGTTGGCAGCTCAATGGCAGCTCAGCTCGGGCCGGGAATCAAACCACTGTTGCTCAGAGCTCAAACTCTTGAGCAAGCTCTTAACCAACTGAGCCACTCGGCCAGCCCTACACATTTTAAGAAAGGGAAAAACTATTAAAATTACACTGATGGTAACCACTTTGAGCACCTCTTACAATTGCAGAAATCAAACATGACTTGTATTCATCTTTTGTTATTGGTATATATTGAGTATTACAATTTTAATACAGTTTTTTCCTTTCTTAAAATGTGTATACATTTTTTGGCACCCTCTGTATACAATGGAATATTATTCAACGATTAAAAAAAAAAGAAATCTTGTTGTTTGTGACAACATGGATGGACCTACAGGTATTATGGTAAGTGAAATAAGTCAAAGAAAGACAAATACCATGTGATTGTACCTACATGTGGACTCTAGATAAACAAAACAAATAAACAAAACAGAAACATACTTATAGATACAGAGAACAGGCTGATGATTGCCAAAGGAGAGGGGCTTGGGGAAGATAGGATTTTTTAAAAAAAAGAAAAAGTACATGAGCTTTGGAGTCACCTAGACCTAGGTTCATATCTCAGCTTTGTTACTAATTAGTTGTGGGACCTTGGACAAATCCCTCAAAAAAAACCAAAACAAAACACCCACAGCAGAACTCAAAAAATGAATGAACATTGAAGGGCTCACGGCTGACATGCTGATCCAAATGCGCTCTGCCCCATGATTCCAGCTTCTCAATCTGTGCCACTGCCCTCAAGCATGGGTAAGATCTGAAATATCCCCCCCACCACCACCACACATGGGCTTCCATCGTGTCTGTGTCACCTATGCCCAAGTGATGCCCCTAGAGGGCGCCCCTGCCCAGCACAGCGCAGACACGCGTAAGTCTTTGTTAGGAGATTCGCCCATCTCAGATGAACTGCTAGCATCCCCAAGAAAAGAAGGGAGGTGGGAGATAAAGGAGGAGAAGCCTCACCTCGTTGCTCTCCAGAGAGGCCTCGCTGCTGACTCCCCGGGCTCTCGCTAGGCCCTCGCTGCTGCTGCTGCTTTGCACAGCCCCGAGGTGGGCACAGAAGGCCTGCTCTTCTGACAGTGGTGGAGACAAGGACATGGGGCTATAAGTCTCCCTCGTGGTGACTCCCCAGAGTCTGTGCTGTTTCATCCACAGCCCTCACCAACTTCTTACATAGTTCACTGCGTTCTTCTGTTTCATGCCGACTGCCTGGCCCAAGCCCTCCCCTGTACACATGGGCAGGGTTTTTGCCTGTTCTGTCCACTGGTAAATCCAAGCATCTAGAACAGTGCTTGGCACACGAGGCCCTCAGTCAACAGCTGCTGAATGAATGATACGTGTCCTATACCAAAGACACATCCCGGAAGGCTCACCGACCAAGGAGCTAAACCTGTCTGGACAAGTCCCCCAGATCCTGAAGGGAGACACTGGCCTAGAAGTTTCTCCTCTGTCCTCACGCCAGACCCTTTGACTGTCCTCCCAAGAGCCAGGGCCTTCTGTCTCTTTCACCCTCTCGTTTGTTCTCTACCAGATGGACTCATCGCAGTGCCAAGCCCGGGCGGGATGTGGGTGGGTACATACCCCGGCTGCTGCTGCTGCTGCTCTCCACGTCCCGGTCATTGATGGGGGAGGTGACATCCCTGTAGCAGAGGCCCCCACCTTCCAGCGGGTTCTCATCACTGCTGTTGAAGGTGACATAGCCCCGTGGAGGCACCTGCTCTGTGGACAGAATTGGGCATGTAAACCCACACAAACGCGAAGGGGAGGACAAGGTCCTCCTTCCAAATGCGACCTCCTCAGAGGGGCCTCCGCGTGAGGAAAGACCCAGGGTTTAGGCAGGAAAGAAGGGAATTCGTATCTTCCTGGCCATTACCTCATCCACTCACCACAGGAACTTGGGACACACTGTTAGGTGTAGTTTGCAGGTGAGGAGACAGGCTCCGAGGGGCTGAGCCCAGTCTCATGACCCATGGCACCCAGTCAAGCCCCAAGCCCTCTCCATCACACACCGTGCTATTTCTTTTCTAAATGGGAAGAGTAGGAGATGGTAAGCTGTGTTCACAGACTCCTGAGCCAAGGAAAAACTATACCACTGGGTAACCCTTTAGCTGGAAGCATCTAATCTCACACACCAGCCTTCATGGTCCCTGGGACTTTTCAACACAGGCATCTATGGGTTTCCTCCTCTGGTCAGTCAACCCCAACCAAAAAGATCTGGCTGAGCAGGAAGGTAGAAGGCCCTGGGCTAAAAATTAACCACAGTAATACCAAACTACACAACTTTTGAACATATCTACCTGCAAGAAAACAAGAAGAAAAGGCAGAACACAAACCACAGTTTCATTCCCACTTTGCCCTACCCCTTCCCCAGAGAAAGTATTTATTTGCATAAAACACAGGCTGATGGGGCCATGCCTAACTCATTTTCCTTTTTATACATTTCTGTAGTTAATCGAGATTTTTTACAACCAGCACATTTATCATTCAAAAATGTTTAACTGTTGGCAAAGAATATATGCACTTAAAAAAAATTAAATAGCACAAGGTATAAGATGAAAAAACAAAACTCTCCTAAAATGCCAAAACCAAGAGTCAACTACCATCATTTGGTGAATGTTCTTCCAGCCTTTTCTGTGAGTACATAAAAATAATTGTGTACAAATGGGCTTCAGCCACAGATTATTTCGGTAACTTGAAAGAATTCCATTCTAAAAAAGCAATTGTTGGATGGTTACACAGATTAATTACACACACACACACACACACACACACACACACACACACACACACACACCCGCCCCAGGGGTAAGAACTATCCTTCCTATGGTCCTACCTCAGGGTGGGACAGGTAGCATAGACTCCTTAGAAGGAACAGACTCTGCCACTCAAAAAGAGAACAACTCAACCAAATGTCCCAGAGCCATGTGCTTACAAGCACATCTGATGAGCCATACCGTCACCCTGAGGCAGGAGCTGGGAGACAGCCTTGCCAAGTGGCCCAGTCAACCCATCCCCCAAGGACAACAGGAGAAGGTGGGCCTCAAGTTTCCAACCCAGGACTCTTTCCAAGGGTCTTAGAAGGGAATCAGGTTACTCATATACTCTCGACTGAAACACAGTCTCCAGACTGGGAAAGTTGGTTTCTTCGAAACCCAGGCTTCAGGGGTGTGCTTGCTTATGAGAAGGGCGCATCTACCTACCCCGTTTGACCAGCAGCCTCAGCCTGGCCACTGATGGGTGACAGGCATCAAAGGAAGATGTCACTCACTCCTAAGTCTGATCCCTTAGGCCAGAGCTAGTGAGTGGGCATCAAACCCAACTCAACCCAGGAACTGTCAGCACCCCCAACACTCCCCAAAAGCACTGCACTCAATATTCAGGAGCTGACAACTTGAGAATAAGCTCAGGAGATCAGGAAACTCAGGGTCCTAGCCCACCAAGTGTCCCATGCGACAATTCTCACAAGGGTTTGAGCATCAAATCCATCACCTGGATGAAAGAGCAGGAGCAGAGTCACCCCTTGGCCTGGTCCAGGGACACATCCACCTCAGGCTGACAAATGGGTTCAGTGTTGTGCCCGGGAGTTATGGCCAGAGACAGGAAGTAGGGCTCTGTTGCCTGAAGCCGATTTCTATTAACATGCCCCCCCCCCCCCCCCCCCCTTTTCCCATTAGATAAGAGAGAAGCCCCAGTACAACCGGAAGGCTGCATTCTCTCTGAGGGGGTGCCCCGGTAAGACCAAGGCCGATAAGGCTCCCTCTGAGGAGTGTCTCAAAGTGTGACTGGGACCTGTTGAAATGCAAACAGTTAATCTCCTCTTGGGAGGACACAGTAACCAGGTGTCCTGGGGCTATGCGGCGGATATGTGAAGGCATAGCATTTGCTGGAACATAATGGATGTGTTAAAGGAAAAAGGCTTTGAAGCACAGGCCTCAAACTGATGCTAATTTGATTGACAGCAGTCTTACTTCTTTGAAAATTCTCAATAAAAACTATGCGCTGACCCGATTCGGGGCTCTCGCTCAGATTCTCTGAATGAGTCCCTTGGGCTTGCTCAGTTTCTCTGACTGAGTCCCTTGGTCTCGCTCTTAAACTTTACTTCTGTCTCTGACTCTTTATTCAATCTACCCTGCCCCTCAAGAGAAACCCGTTTGCCCTTGCCACGCTGGACGTGACAGGGCTCCAACGTCACGCTGTCGCTGCACTAGCTGCACTATGACCAATGAAATTTTAGCCTCACTACACTTCTGCCACTGGAGAGAAAATTCTATTTGTAATTTTAACCAATGAAAAGGAAAATCAAAGGATGAACCCAAACCTGAGAGCCAGCCAATGTTATCAATTTTGAGTCTTTGAGGGGCTGCTCCCACCCACTGGCCCACATTTCAGGAGCTGGAGAGTTACTGGTTCTCATCAAGACAGAGATTTCGAATGCGCTCCCAGAAAGCCATCAGGGATGTGGACCGCTCACCATAGCAGGGCTGCTGAGTCTTGCCTCCAAGTCCAATGGCTGTGATCCTGGCCAAGGCCCGAGGCCCGTCATGGATGCTGAGGCCCTTCTTTCGACCAGGCCTTTGTCTCTGAGGAGCGGGACAGGATTCATCCGAAGAGCTGAGATCTTCATATTTTTCTGTGGGTCAAACACCAAAATGAAGATAGTTTGTCCAGTGATGGACTAATTTACTAATCCTCATAGTGAACTGGGAGAAAATCATAATTGTTTTTTTTTAATTAAGAAGAAAAGTGACGTGGTGACCGCTACTGAGCAGATCGAACTCTAACTGTTTGTACACCTCACTCTGCTTCGTCTGAAACCGTGTCTGACAAATCCGATAAGGCTGAGACTGAGAAATTCAACAGTCAAAACTCAAGAAGACAGAAATGCAAGAGAAAAACCCACTGCCTTCAAAAGACACGGTTGTGGGCCGGCCGAGTGGCTCAGTTGGTTAAGAGCTCACTCAAGAGTTTGAGCTCTGAGCAACAGTGGTTCGATTCCCGGCCCGAGCTGAGCAGCCGGGATAGCAGGTGGCAGGATAGCTCAGCATAAAAAATAAAAAAAAATTTAAGGAAAGACACGGTTGAACAGGAAAAGCGAGCAGGCGAATCGTAACAAGGCACGCATCTCCAGTATAACTGTATGTTCCACAAGCATTGCCTTCGTATTTTGCTTCTTTTAGCTGCTTAACTTCTAAGATACAAAGAGGTTAGATCAAGTTTAAACGACTGTGCTGCTCCTTCTCACATCAGAACTACTACTGACAACGAAGGCCACACCTGCCTCTCCCATCTGCCTGGCTGGCTAGCAGGGAAGAAAAAGAACTTGCATGTTGGTGAAGGCAGAAGCTGGATGGGACGACAGTGAAATCTAGAGTAAAAAGCAAGCTGGTCCAAAGTGTCCTGCAGGCTGTAAAATGCAGTTTAATCAGAGTGCCAATTCTTTTTTGTTCAAATGATTTTAATTATTGGAATGCACGATTTTTTAATAGGCAAATAAAGTTTTAAAACCTGAAGAAAAAAAAAAGTGTTTCCCAGGACTTCACTTGTAGGAAATGCCATAACGGGCCAGTCCGTTCCTGAAAAGGGCCATGGGGACATCTGAGGGGACAGCAAGATTGCTGAACGTGAGCTGAACTGAAAAAGTTTGTCGTGATGGGGGAGCCTAACTCTTATTTCTTATTCCTCTTGTCTGAGTTTGCTGAATTTTTTATAATAAGCATTTATTATGTTTACAACCAAAAATAAATTCTGTTCTAAGCTGAAGTGATAAGATCCACCTCTTCATAAACACATGGCAACATCACTCACAGCTTCTTAGCAACTCTATATTCTCAACCTGAACAACTTCCTGGGAAACAAGTGCCACATGAGGCTCTGTGAGCTGCATTTTAGGGAGCATTTCACATTCAGTGCCCATCTGGGCTTAAAGGCTCAGCATGCCCACAGCCATTACTGTTTTATAGCTTTTCATGGTTTTCCATATTTCATCATACTATTGGGTTATTGGAAAAGTCATGACGCATTTTTGCAACAAAAAACAGAAACAATATTATGACTTTTCTGACAACCCAATAGAAAGCAAAATACATGTACATATGTGTATAAGGCTCACATCTGATAAGATCTTATTTTGCAGTTGGTAAACTGGGGTGCAGGGGCCAACCGAGTGGCTCAGTTGGTTAAGAGCGCGAGCTCTGAGCAACAGGGTCGCCGGGTTCAATTCCCGCATGGGCCAGTGAGCTGCGTCTGAGCTGAGCTGCCACTGAGCTGCCAACAGGTGGCAGGATGGCTCAGCTGGTGAGAGCACGTGCTCCTAACAGAAAGGTTGCAGGTTCGACTCCTGCATGAGATGGTGGGATACGTCCACCTGCAACTAAGATTGAATACAGCACCTTGAGCTGAGCTTCCAATGGGTGGCCGGATGGCTCAGTGGTTAGAGTGTGCGCTCTTAGCAACAAGGTTTCCGGTTCAACTCCAACATGGGATGGTGGGCTGCACCCACCCGCAACTAAGATTCAACATGGCACCTTGAGCTGAGCAGCCGTGAATTGCCAACGGGCGGCCGGATGGCAACTGGACTTGGAGCTGAGCCAGCTGTGCCCTCCACAACTAAATTTGAGGGACAACAACTTAGCTGTTCCCCTTCCCCAATTCCCCAATACTGTTCCCCTTCCCCAACTCCCCAATAAAAAAATCTTTAAAAAAAAACAAAAAAAAACAACTGAGGTGGAGAAATAGATAAGTCCCTTATTACCACCGTACTCCATGTGAGCTGGTGTTCATCACAAAACAGTCCTGAGGCCAGGAAGGGAGCTGGGCCAGCCCAGGCTGTGGGAAGGAAACAGGCCCACTCGAATGTGAACTAGAACTCCACTCTCAGTGGCTGCCCATCAAGCCAGGCAGTTACTGACCCAGGTCCCAAACGCGGGCCAGTGACCTGAGAGGACCACTCCCTCCTTTCCCCATTCAGCAGACTCCCATCCTCTCCAGGATCTATGTCACCAGGAGACCATGGTCCTGTCCAAGCAGAAGATGGAATCATAAAAAATAAATGTACAAGGGAGGGGGGACCAAGGAAAAGGCAACTCCATGAATCTGAATGGGGATGTAAAGTATAGCATAAGGAATATAGTTAATAATATTGTAATCACTATGTATGGTGTCAGGTGGGTGCTAGATTTATCAGGGTGATCACTTTGTAAATTATATAAATGTCTAATCACTATGTTGTATACCTGAAGTAAATCTATCTCTATTTGCAGATTATACGGGAGTATGCCTGGAAAATCCCTAGAGAATCAATAAATAAAATTAACTCTAACATTGGAAGAGTTCAGTAAGGCAGGATATACAATTGGTATACAGACATCAACAGCCTTTGTATTCAGACAATAAGCAGTAAGAGGATATAATGGTAGTGAAACCCCATTTACAACACCAACAAAGAAAATCAAACATACTTAAGTTATATGTAAAATGTGTATGAGGAAAAATTTCAACCCCTCTGTAAGACACAAAAATACACTTGAACAAAAGTGCACTCCTTATTGTTACACAGGACGACTCAACAACATAAAGGAATAGTTAATTTATAAATCTGCCACAATCTCAACACCAAAATGCTGTTTTTAAGGAGCTAGACAAGCTGATACTCAAGTTCAGACAAAAAAATAAAAATAGCTAGGAAAACACTGAAAAAGGAGGGAGACTAACCCTACTACATAGTAAAACGTATTACAAAAAGCCTCTATAATTAAAATAGCATGGCTGTGGCGTGTGAATAGACAGACCAGGAATTGAAGTCCAGAGCACAAATTTTGTGTGTGTGACAAAGATGGCCTCTCAGACCACTAGGTCAAAGCTAAACTTTTAAATGATGCTAAGGCAACCAGGTAGCCATTTGAAAAAAACATACCTCACACTACACATGAAAGTCAAGTGCAAATGGGTCAGAGATCTAAATGTAAAACATGAAATCATGTCACTACTAGAAGAAAACATGGTGAATTCTTGTACAACCAGAGCACAGGTTTTCTGTGACTCAAAATCTAGAGGAAATAAAAAAGATCAATGAGATCAATGAGGGCTGGCCGAGTGGCATGTTGGTTAGGAGCTGACTTGGGACGCCAGCTCTGAGCAGCAGGGCCCGGTTCTGATCCCACATGAGGGCCAGTGACACTGCACCTTCTACAGTTAAGATAGTGAACAACAACTCGACCTGGAGCTGGGCTGCCATGAGTCGCCGGCGACAGCGGTGTAGGCTGCAGTGGAGCTGCAGTGGGCTCTTGTAAGCTACCGTGAGCGGCCGGCAACCGGTATGAGTGGCCATCCAGTGGCTGGCGACCGATCTGCCTCACCCGGGAAGAGCGCAATGATAATACCAACATGGGCCAGTGAAGTGACGTCCTCCACAACTAGACTGAAGAACAAAAAGGACAGCAACTTCTCTGTTCCCCTTCCCTGATTCTCCAACCCTGTTCCCCTCCCCCAATTCCCCAATTAAAAAAGAAAATCAATGACTTTGATATAAAATGAAAAGTTTTATGGCAACAAACACAATAAGCAAAGTCAAGAAACAAAAACCAGAAGCAAGCCCCTTAGTGAGGCTGCCCTACCTCTGGGTGAGCATCACATGCCCACATCCTGTGTGCCTGCACTCAGCCTGGCAGGTACCACTCTACAACCTAACTTGTCCTCAGACAAGCAGGCCTCAACCTTGACTGCACAATGGAGTCATGGGGGGTGGGGAGGGAGGCAGAGAAGGTCTGGCAAGGCTGCAGGTGCCAAGTCTCCTGGAGCAGGTGGGAGCAGGGGGCAGGACTCCAGCAGAGGGTGAGGCCGCAGATGCAATTACCTTGGTTCCGATAAAGGCTCTTGGGCAGAGAAGGCGAGTGAGCATCTATCAATCCTACTATCTTCATGTGTCCATACTGCTTGGCCAGCATTCGGGCCGTGGCCCCACTGTTGTCTCTCGTGTCCATTTTGACTCCCTGTGAAAGTTGGTAAGAGTTAAGAAACTCCCCTGGAAAGCACCCTCACTTCCCAGGCTGCGGACTCACGACGAGGACACTGGCTTCTTACCACCACCCTGGAGAGGTCTGTGCCCAGGTCCTCTAAAACCCCACAACTTCAGGAGAGGTAAAGGCCCATGTAGTCTTTCAATCTCTTCTTAATGCTACGAGTAAGTGGGGGGCATGGAGAGGGGCTTGCTGGCTCCTCAAATAAGGCAGTAATCCAGCCATCTCACAGCTGCGGCAGCTCTCCAGGTTCATTCCCATTTGGCTTTTAGCCACTTAGAGGACAGAGGCAGTCAGGTAGTCGAGGTGGGGAAAGGTAAACCCAGGCCACTGTGCTGTGCGGAAGAGCCTGGCTTCACCCTTGGCACCTGGGCGTGTGTCTGACTTGCTTCATTTCTCTTCATCAGAACAGATTCACTAGAGAAAGCAGCCTTTAAAAATCATAATCAGAATGAGAGCCCCACCCTTCTGAAACAGAATTTGGAAACTTTTATCCTATGCCCTAAAAAGTATTTAATAGCTTCCAGTACAATAATTTCACTTCTGCAACTCGAGCGTAAGGAAATAACCCCAAATACACAGAAAGCTTTTCTGCACAAAGATGTTTAACACAACATATTTGCAATAAAAAAAACCTGGAGACAACCTTAAATGCTCAGGGTGGAGAGTCCGCTATGTTACTGTCACAGTTGCTGGTATTTACAAATAATTGGTATAACCAAGTTTTTAAAAGGACCATGATATATTGTACAATTGCAGCAAAACAAGATAAACGTGTACAGAAAGCACTACTGGAAGGAAATATACCCAAGCTGTTAATATTACTTTTAAGCAGTGAGATAGTGGGGACTTTTCCCATCCTCCTTCTATATTTTCTAAATTTACTACTATGAGCATGTTTACTTTTGAAGCTGAAAAAGCCCAATAAGCTTTCCATTTTCAAAGCTTCAACCTGAAGGTGGGACCACTGGAACTCAGTGCTCCGGACGGCAAATCAGCAAGAGGGAGTTCAAACAGTATGGAGGTTCCTCAAACAAACAGAGCTACCACATGACACAACAGTCCCTCTGCTGGGTATCTACCCATCTCTTCTATGGTTTACCCATCTCTTCTTGACCCTAGGCTGTGACCGAAGGATCCTGGTCCATGTGAGTGGTATTACCTTCAAAGAATATTATTTACAGAATAGGAAGCCCAAATGGCCAATAACATATGAAAAGATGCTCAACCTCACCAGAAATCTGGAACAGATTCCATTCCTTTTTGTGCCCGATTAATATTCCACTGTATGAATATAACACATTTTATTTATCCATTTATCAGTTGATGGACATTTGGGTTGTTTGCTTCCACCTTTTTTTTAAAAGATTTTATTGGGGAATTGGGGGAGGGGAACAGTGTTGAGGAATTGGGGAAGGGGACCAGACAAGTTGTTCTTCAGTCTTCGTTGTGGAGGGTGCCAGTCGCCATCTGGCTACCCGTCGGCAGCTTGTGACTCTAAGCTCAAGGTGCTGTGTTCAATCTTAGTTGAGGGTGGGCATAGCCACCATCCCATGCGGGAGTCGAACCAGCAGCCTTGTTGTTAAGAGTGCATGCTCTATCCACTGAGCAATCCGGGTGGCAGCTCAGCTCAAGGTGCCGAGTTCAGTCTTAGTTGCAGGTAGGTGTAGTCCACCATCGAACAGGCAACCTTGTTGTTACACCAGCTGAGCCATCCTGCCACCTGTTGGCAGCTCAGCGATAGCTCAGCTGGGGCACAGTGTCACTGGCCCATGTGGGAATCGAACTGGCAGCCTTGTTGCTCAAAGTTTGTGCTCTTAAGCCAACTCTTAACCAACTGAGCCACTCGGCCAGCCCTGCTTCCACCTTTTGATTATTATGAGTAACGCTGCTATGGACATTTGTATTTAAGTTTTTGCATGGACCTGTTTTCAGCTCTTGGGTATGTACCTAGGAGAATTTCTGGGTCACCTAGTAACTCTATGTTTAACTGACAAGCTGATAGACTGGTTTCCAAAGAGGCTGCATCACTCACATTCCCATTGGCAATGTTCCATTTTCTCCACATCCTCACCAACTCGTTATTGTCCATCTTTTGTTTCTTAGACTTCCTAGTAGGTTTTTGTTTTTTTTTTAAGATTTTTATTAGGGAATTGGGGGAAGGGGAACAGACAAGTTGCTGTCCTTTTGTTCTTCAGTCTAGTTGTGGAGGACCTTGCTTCACTGGCCCAAGTTGGCACCATCATTGCGTTCTTCCCGGGCGAGGCAGATTAGTCACCGGCTTTTGGACAGCCAGCTGTTCACAGCGGCTGCTGGCTGCTCATGCTGGCTGCTGGCTACACACGGTAGCCCATGGCAACCCACTGCAACAGGGGCTGCAGCCTACGCTGTCGCCGGCGACTCACAGCAGCCCAGCTCCAGATCGAGCTGTTGTTCAGCATCTTAGCTGTGGCAACCCACTGCAGCAGGGGCTGCAGCCTACGCCGTCGCCTCACGGCAGCCCAGCTCCAGATTGAGCTGTTGTTCAGCATCTTAGCTGTACAGGGCAGTGTCACTGGCCCTCATATGTGGGATCCAAACCAGGGCCCTCTGGCATCCCAAGCCAGCTCTTAACCATCGCGCCACTGGGCCGGCCCGACTTCCTAGTAGTTTTGCATGTCCCTATGACTAATGATGTCAAGCATTTTTTCACATATTTATTGGCCATCTGTATATTTTCTTTGGAGAAATGTCTATTCGAATCCTTGGCCCACTTTTTTTTTTTTTTTAATTAATTGGGGAACAGTGTGTTTTTCCAGGACCCACCAGCTCCAAGTCAAGTAGTTGTTTCAATGTAGTTGTGGAGGGCGTGGGAATCGAACCAGCAACCGTGGTGTTGTAAGCACTGTACTCTAAACAACTGAGCTAACCTGCCACGCCCTGCCCATCTTTTAATTGTCTTTTTATTAGGCCCTATTAAACTGAAAATGTGAGCACCAGCAATCCTTCTTGCAGAAATACAGTCTACAGAAAAAAACTGCATGCATTTGCAGCTGTGTATACAGAATACCTGGAGCACTGGTTATAAATGCAAAATGCTAGAAACCTCAATTTCTACTGACAAGGAGCTGATTAAACTAATGGTGGTATAGGTTGAACATGGAATACTCTGTAAGGATAAGATGACTATGGCATATTAAGTGGTTGTTTAAAAGCTGCAGAGCAGGGGCGGCCAAGTGGCGCATTGGTTAGGAGTTGGCTTGGGATGCCAGCTCTGAGCAGCAGGGCGCCAGTTCGGATCCCACATGAGGGCCAGTGACACTGCACCCTCTACAGCTAAGATGGTGAACAACAGCTCGACCTGAAACTGGGCTGCCGTGAGTCGCCGGTGATGGCATAGGCTGCAGTGGGGCTGGCCAGCAGCGGGCGTGAGCTTTTGTGAGCTGTTATGAGCCATCGTGAGTGGCCGTCCAATGGCCAGCGGGCAACTGCCTCTCCCAGGAAGAGCGCAATGATAATACCAACATGGGCCAGTGAAGCGATGTCCTCCACAACTAGACTGAAGAACAAAAAGACAGCAACTTGTCTGTTTCCCTTCCCCAATACCCCAATGCTGTTCCCATCCCCCAATTCCCCAATAAAGTCTTTAAAAATAAAATAATAATAATAATAAAAGCTGCAGAGTAAACATACAGCAGAGCCTCACTTTGTCCAGAACAAACAACAGTGCATTTGCAGGTGTCTACAGACATATCTTCTAAGCAGAGGAAAAGTCCTGGGGTGTCTCTGTCAAACCCAGTGGGCATCTGAGGGAGGAGCAGGGTGTGGGTGAAAAGGGAGGAAGATTTCTGCCTTCTTACCCTATATAATTGTTTTAAGTAATGGGATGATGAATGCTATTTACTTTTTAAAATATGATTTTCCATACTTTTCAAATAATAGTATTTTCAACATTCCTACAGGAACAGGTGTCTATTTTTACTCCCCACTGTACCCCTAAATGCCTAAGTGCCACTTGGCATCAATAGATACTCAATGAACATGTGTTAAGTAAGTAGATGAAGAGCAGTTATTTCTGTGTAGCAGAAAACTGTTATAGTTTATACCTCAAGTGATAGGATTCCTCACTTGCTATGACTAAATTAAAAGCTAATAAAGAGGGTCACTTACATGATTCAGAAAATACTGAACGATTATTTCGTGGCCAGCGGCAGCTGCTTCCATCAAAGGAGTGAATCCATATATCGGCTCCCTGCAAGACAGAGACCACAGTCCGATGATGCGCAGAGAGAAGCTCTGCCAGGGAGCCGCTTTCCCGCTGCAGACAAAACCAAGCCGATGCCAAGTCACCCACCCCAAAGTGTAGAGGTCTCCCTCTCACAAGAATAACCAGGAGAGAAAAGTTCTCATCAACACATTGGCCTCATAAACTCTTCTGGTTTCTACCCCAGAATCAACTGAGTCTTTTGTCCTAAAAACAATCTGTCTCCCCATCTCCCCTTCTTCTAAGCTGTTTGCACCCACTATCTCTTACGTCTTCACTTGAATCACCAGTAAAAGGCAGCTGTTGCCATTTCCTGCTGACAGAAAGCTAATGTCTCCCATCGACCTATTTAGACCCTATCTTTTGAACTCAACATCATATCCAGGATCCCGCCCAAAAGGTCCAGGACTAATAATCTACCTGGTCCTTACTAAGCCTGGTACCTGGTGCTTATTTTTTGAGCTTGGTTGAGGGTTAACTTGGCACTGTCTTCAGAGTGCACCCTACCCCTCATTTCTTTCACACTGGTCTAGAAGACAGAAACCAAATAGAACACTGGGTTTCATCCATTCCATGACACACCGTTTCCACATTTTAACATCTCTGAAATCAGAATGTGTCTTAAAATCCGTAGGTGAGGGATGACTGGTTAGCTCAGTTGATTAGAGCATCGTGCTGATAACACCAAGGTTGCCAGTTCGATCCCTGCATGGGCCACTGTGACTGCGCCCTCCTTAAAAAAAGAGTCAACTATGCCATTGTAGCATGAAAGCAATGTGTAACCAATGACCATGGCTGTTCCCCAATAAAATTAAAAAAGAAAAAAAGAAAAGAAAAAGAAAGAAAGAAAGAAAAAGAAAGATGTCTTAAAAAAATAATTCCAGGGCCGGCCGAGTGGCGCGTTGGTTAAGAACTGGCTTGGGACGCCAGAGGGCCCCGGTTCAGATCCCACATATGAGGGCCAGTGACACTGCCCTCTACAGCTAAGATGCTGAACAACAGCTCAACTTGGAGCTGGGCTGCCATGAGTTGCCGGTGACCCCTGCTGCAGTGGGTTGCCATGGGCTACCATGTGTAGCCAGCAACCAGCATGAGTGGCCAGCAGTCGCAGTGAGCAGCCATCCAGAAGCCGGCGACTGATCTGCCTCGCCCGGGAAGAGCGCAATGATGGTGCCAACTTGGGCCAGTGAAGCAACATCCTCCACAACTAGACTGAAGAACCAAAAGGATAGCAACTTGTCTGTTCCCCTTCCCCCAATTCCCCAGTGCTGTTCCCATCCCCCAATTCCCCAATAAAAATCTTAAAAAAAAAAAACAGGGCCGGCCGAGTGGCTCAGTTGGTTAAGAGCTCACTCAAGAGTGTGAGCTCTGAGCAACAGCAGTTCAAGTCCAGCCCGAGCTGAGCAGCCGCTGAGCTGCCAACAGGTAGGATGGCTCAGCTAAAAAAAAGAAAAGGGATTATCAATCGGACATGTTTTAGACAACACCCATTCTAGCTTATAAAACTCATGACTGTTTTCAAAGCATCATCTCACCTGATATATACAAAAGGCAATCAGGAGAAAGGAATTAGCATTTAATTCAGTTCAATTAAGTGCCATTCACTATGATAGGCCTCTGAAGTATGATAGAACATGTAATTCTTCTAACAACTCTATGATATAGGTATTGCTATCCCCCATTTTCAGGAAGAAAGTGAGGCTCAGAGAGCTTAAAGTGCTGCACCCAATGTCACTTGTCAGATGCAGGAAACGGCCAGGATTATCCCTAGGCCCCCTGCACCCAGGTGGGACTGTCCTTCCACCCCTTTATCTGAACCTCTCATACCGAGGCAGCGGCTTCCCTGACTCTAGCCCGTAGCTGCCTCTAAAGTTGTCCTCCTCAGAGTTAGATGTGACCACATCTAACTATGGCCACTTAAGATGTGGTAATCACCTCACGTTGGCATTCGCTCCGCTGTCCAAAAGGAACTTGACCATCTGCTGATGCCCAGCGCTGGTGCAGTGGAAGAGGGCTGTCCAGCCTTGAATGTCCTTCATTTCTAGCTCAGCACCTTGCTTCAAGAGAACACAGAATGCTCGTTACAGCCTCGCCTCCTCTGCGTGCAGCAGGGGCCCTGCTGGCCGTCACACTGAAAGAAAGTGATTACACGCGCACCATGGTCTACAGTGGTTCGCATCTCTGCCAGAGCGGCTAGGGAGCCCCTCAGGTTTCTGGGCCTGAGTCCTGTCGTAGCTCACCTGGAGGAGAAAGTAGGCGATGCTCTCGTTGCCACAGCTGGAAGCCAACATCAAAGGAGTCTGCCCTTCTGGAGTCGGCACATTCACACTCACCCCCGCCTCGAGCAGCAGGTGCACGATGGTATCATGTCCAATGTAGGAGGCATACATCAGCGGGGTCCAGCCACCACCATTCTTCTTATTCAAATCTAACTCTCTCCTAAATAAACGCAAGATATGCTAGTCACGCCCAGCTGTCTCACATGTGGGGTTTACCAAGGCCAGCATTGAGGCCAGGGATGCTGCTAAACACCCTACAGTGCACAGGACAGCCCCCACCCAGAGAATCATCTGACCCAGACTGTCAGCAGTGCCGAGGCTGGGAAACCCTGACCTGGAGCTCTGACTACTTTCCACCAGCAGACCCCAGTCTGCTCGTCTAGTGCTGGTGGGGAGTGGAAAGAGCAAGGGACTCAGACAAAAGAGCCACCTCACTCTACTGAAACATTCTTGGAAAACCTGCGGCCAAGTAATCCTATCTTTCTCTCTGATTTCCATTAAATTATAGAAAAGCATTTCCCACAGGAAAAAAAAAATGTGGGCTTCCCAACCCAGGCTCTGGGGTTGGGGTATGGAAGTAACACCCACTTCCAGAAACATACTGCATAGTTCATACTTCACAGCCCTTCCTCTGCCACAGCCCTTGCCTCCAGTGGAGCTAACAACTGCCAATTGATCCACACAGTGTGTGCCTCTTGTAGGCTTGCACAAGCCATACCAGACACTTATTTTCCATTCACTAGCATCTTTGGACTCTGGGGTGCCCACGTCCACACAGCCATTCTGCAAGGTCCTGATCCCAAGAATGCAGAGGCAGCCACTGGCTGGGAGAGCCTCATGGAGACAAGTTCACCTTTACCACACGGCCTTCATTGATGGAGGGCTCAATTCCAAATGGAGAGGGAGGGGCCTTACCCTTGGCTGAGTACCTCTAAGGCCCTCGCACCTCCCCTCAGTCCAATCCCCCCTTCTGATGCCTCCCACTCCTCAGGTCCCCGGTCTAACTGTGAGCAAACCTCGGGCTCAGCTAGAGTCACAATCCCAATCAGAACACAAACACTTCCCTCTTCTCCTCCGTGGAGCCTTTTTTGGACGGTGCATTTCACCAAGAATGCCAAAGGAGCAGAGTTATAACTGGGGTCTTGGTGACCCTGTGAGGGGGATATGCTGCCTGTGTATGCAGCTACCCATTCCAAGGCCTCCTGGTGCAGGAGTACAATGGGTCATCCCTCACCTCAGTGCACCTGCACCTGACTGGCCAGGTACTTATAAGTGATGTCTATGACTTGGGAACTGGAAACCTGGGGCTTTAATGAGGCTTGGCTTTGGCACCCCAGGAACTGGAAAAGGCACAAGTAGGTACAGACATAGATCGTTTCTCTGGGTTATCGATGACAAATGGAAATGTGAGCACAAAGTGTGGCAGACATAAAGGGGTGGAGGTGAAGAGATGGATCCTTTTCCAAAAATTACAGTAGGTATCAACTGTACTATAAACAAGACATAGCCAACGGCCACTGCTGTTGTATCGGGACTTAATATATATGTAAAATTGGTAAAAAAACAGTTCGTGGGCAGTTAGTTCAGGTGGCAGTCCTCCAGATAGACCCTGCTGACTCCTCCTCCTCTATGGCAGAAGCTGGAGGGGAGAGGAAGGCATGAGGGATTAAAATAAACCCCTTAGGAAAAGAAGGCCATAGGGCATCACTTTCTAGCTTTATTTTTGTTGGAGCTTTTCTAAAATTAGTGAAAACCATAAAATTATTCTGGTTAAAGTAAGGCAGGAATGTTCCTAAGCCAATGAAAAAAGTTTAAACCAACTTTTTCCTCCTAGGAATAAAAACTGCCTTCCTTAGGAGAGTCCAGCATAATTCGTTACTGACAACTGCCTGAGAGAGGTGGGGTTAATCCAGGCTATATGTACTAAATGTCTACAGCTGCGTGCGAGGCCCTGTTAGCTTACTCATATCTCCATGTGGGAGCTGAAGCCATTGAGATGGTTCTCAACATCTAAGGAGAAGGAATACTTCCCAAGATCTCTTACCGCTGCACACATTCCTTCACCACTTCATACTGGCCAATGGAAGCAGCTGTGTGGAGATCCAAGGGGACGGATAACTCCTCCCGGCTGACCTGCGCACCCAGCCCATGCCACATGGACAAGCTGCGGGTCAGGAGTTCCGGCTCACTAGCTTCATCGCTGAGCTCCGACATCGCTGTGGAGGGAGGCCCAGGGGTTAGGTCTTTTCTTCCTGGTGGTTCCAAAGAATGAAACAGGAGAGTCACACTCCTACCTGTGTGCAGGATGCGTCTATGTCACTATCCTAGCCGACTGCTCCCCAATGCGGTCAACTCCTGTGACTGACTTAACACAACTTTCTTTCATTAAATATTGTGTGGCTTTCTGAGCTTGTCACCAGACAGAAAAAGAGGAGCCTATATGGTGGGTCATAGACTACAGTGCATATAATTTCCTTTATCAAGCCTCAGGCCCCACATTCTAGGACGAGAATTCTCCAGGAACTCAAGGAGCCTGCCAACCTCCTGGGTGAGCAGTAAAGAAATGCTGACTGGGTCAGTGGACCAAATCAGCTCTTGAGTATGATGGGAAAGAACCCTGGACTTCGAGTTAGATCAAAATTCAGCTCTGCTACTTACACCTCCGATCCCTAGCTCCTCACTGTCTAGTGGGGACATAATATCTCCGAGGGCTGCTGTTAAAGACACATGGAAGAATGGGTAAACAAAGTGGCACATTCATACAACGGAATGCTAACTGGCAACAAGCTGAAGGAACAAACAGCCAATACACACAACACACGAAACAATCTCAAACACACTGTGCTAAAAGCCAGACTCGAAAGGCTACCTACTGTATGACTCCATTCATATGACTTTCTAGAAAAGATAAAACTAAAGGGTTGGAGGACAGGTCAGTGGTACCAGGAATTAGGGGTGGGGTGACCACAAAGGGACAGCAAGAGGGAATTTGGGGGTGATGGACCTGTTCCACATTTTGATTGGTGGATGTGGCTCTACGCATTTATCAAAAACTCATAGACCTGAACACCGAGTGAGTGAATTTTACTGCATGCAAAACTTTTAAACAAATAAATTTTGAAAAAACTTGAGAGCTCCTAGCAAAGAAACTAGGATGTGATTGGTGTTCAGCAAATGTTAACTGATAGGAATCTACCTATGCAATCCTTCAAAGTGGGACAGAGAGGGGGGCAGTTGTGATGCATTTGTGGAATGATACTTTCCCTGAGATGGGACAACACCAGGGTGAAGAGCCTGTGATTGTGAGAGCCCTTTATTCGGGGAATCCTACCCAAATCAAGGCCAAGTCATTAGCTTCCTAGTAGAATCCTTTAGGTTAAGGAGTGACATTTATCTCCTACTCTACTCTGGGTGGGAAAGAACAAGGAAGCAAGTGCAGTAAAGGGAGAGAAAGAAAACAAAGACAGGCCACATACTGTTTAGACGGCCTGAAGGTACCACAGCAGCTCACAGATGCCACTAGAACCTCAGTCTCTACTAAAGAATGCTTCCAAGCTCCAGGTGACAGCCAACATGGCCAAACAACAAACAAGCCACCAATGTGGGGGACAAAAAAATTTGTAGGACCTTTGCAAGGGTGTGATGGGGCCTGCAGACAACAAAGTTCAGAGCAAAGCCCTATTCCTGGTATCACCGCTTTTCACACTGGCAAGGACTGAGAGCAAGCAGCTCTCACTGCACAGGTGAGAACTTGAATGAACAGTCCTGGCCCCCAGAGCCTGGATAAGAAGCCAAATAAGCGGAGTGTCCATTCAGGGCCCCTTTCAAAGTGCCGCTCAAGCCTTCTGTGGGTGTGTCTCTTCTCCAAATGCCTCCTCCGGGATGGGGCCCGTGTTCTCTCTCCTTTTACTGGATGCTCACATGTCTGACACCCTGCGGAGTGCTAAGGGACAATCAGAACCAGATCTTGCTCAAGGAGCTTACAGAGAGTGAACTTGGATGCCAAGGGCCCATAAAGGTACCATTACTTCCTTTTCACCCTGACACATTCCAGACACTCCACATGATGTGGTATTTGTTACATATAACATGATTATATTTGTAGAAAGGGTCTTTTGAATATAACTTCCAGAACTTATCTCCAGGATAAGTTCAGGGGATGGTCTTTTTTTTTTTTTAAGTTATTTCAAGTGTAAGGGGATGGGGTCCTTTAAATTCTACTCTACCTTTTGGTTCTGTCCATTTGTAAAATACTAAGTATCCACTACTTTTAAAATAAACAAAAAAATATTTTTTAACTTAAAAGTGACGTTGGTGGTCGACCGGCACGCCCACGGGGAAGAGATCTGTAAAGCCCCAGGGCACACCCTCCCTCCCCTGCGCGTGGGCCTTCCGTGGGGCCGGGTGTCCCAACCTCGTTGTCAGGCCCTGGGGAGGGTCCCTAAGGAAGAACCCGAGCACCTACAGCACTGGCATCCCTTGACGCCTCCTCCCAGTAGCTCTACACTGCACGTGGCTTTATCTTCCCCGCCCCACAGCTGCAGAGCAGAAGCTCACAGACATACACTCACGCCACGAGCGAGAGGCAGGGCTGGGACTCCCCGCTCCCGGCCGCACAGGTGGGCAGCAGGTGCGGGCACCAGGCGGGGCAGGCCCGCTGCGGAGCCTACCTGCACTGTGCCTCGGGCCCCGAGCCGCCCTCGGGCCGCCGTCGCCGCGCTGCCTCCGCGGGGCCCGCTCTCCACCGCGCCCTTCCCGGTCCCCTCAGCGCCCGCCTTCGAAGCGCCTGGACCCTGAGGCCCCGCTCCCGCCCCGGAAGTGGTTGCGGGAGGCGCGGAGCACGCCGGGACGCTCGCGGGTCCGCGGGGCAGCTCCCGGTACTGAGGAATTCGTCCGTCCCGCACCCGGACCTTCCGGTCAGCTAGCCCGGTTCTCTGTGCGACACCCGCGACAGCCAATAAGCAAGGGGAATTCGCCTGCCCCGCCCCTTCACTGCCAGGGGAACCAATCCTGTTGCAAGATAGGCAGGACGCGCCGAGTCCCGAAAGAGGCGCGGGGGGCGGGGTGTGGAAAGCGGTTGGCAGTCCAGTAAAGTAAGGCTCTGCTGAGGGGGGATTCCGAAAACGGTGACAGCCTCGGTAGTTGAGCTGCGGCCCAAGGGGGCAAACACGACCGGAGGGACGCGCTGGAAACTGTTTATAGCCCTGTCAGGACCGTGCAGGGAGGGGAAGTGGAGGCGGAGGACAGAGGTAAGGGGCCTCAAGCCTGCCGCAGCTACAAAGGTAAATGTCAAGGAGTTGAACGAGAAGGGATGGGAAACATGGGCTGCGGGTGCGTGGAAGGCTGGGCGATGGGTATTCCTGTTTCCGAGCTTTAGAATTTAAAAGCCTGGCCCGGGAGACGGTTGGCGTCTAGTTGTCATAACAACCGCCCACCCGTGAGAGGAGGCGGGGCTAACGGGCTGCAACCAAAAAATGGACTTGGCGATCAAGTCAGGATTCAGAGGAGGCTAGAGCAGCGGGTTCGCGTAGCCGTTGGCTTAACCCTCTTCTGCTGGATGAGCCTAGCTTCTCAGCTTGGCGTTCGGGACCCTTCACGATCCGGTCGGTTTTCACTGCATAGCCCAGCAACTGACACCTCCCCCGCCCCCAACATGTTGGGCAATTTTCACTCCTCTGAGCCGCTGTACATATTCCTCCCGGATCCTGTAATGGCTTTCCCCTCCTTATTGCCTGTCCTCCTGAACTTACCAGAGTCCCTGTTGGCCCCCTTCACCTATGTGATTCTGTTGTCCTCCGATCTGCCCTACAGCCAGAGAACACCCCATGATATATGTACCAGATGCGTCCCCACCCTGCTTTCCCCAGTTCAGGGCGCATCAAGCTCCTGTCCCTGGTCCCATAAGGACAGAAGAAGCAAGAAGCGCCTCCCTCCCGGCCGCCCCCACTTCCTTGTCCTGCAGCTACCCTGATGGGGGCCCTGACACAGAGTGATGATAGCAGGAGTGTTCTCTTAACATTTTATAGCCATAGCTGCGGCTCAGACTGCAAGGCTTCTCCATACACTGGCTCTGAAGTACCATCATCCCACATTCTTAAAGCCCCCTTGACTCTTGAGGGGCTGGGCCTTTTCCGTTTAGATTCTGGGATACAAAAGGGGAGATGGTTCAGTGCCTGAGTATAAGGTTAATTTGAGTGGTGACTCAAAAAAAAAAAAAACAACAACAACAACAAAAACCTGGAACTCCGAAATGTCTCTAGCCTATTGCTTTGTGAGGGGGCAGTAAAGGATAGTGGGCTTGAAATTCTCTCTAACTTTGATACAGATTTTCTTTGCTGTTTACTAACAATATAACTTCTCTGGGCCTATAAAGTGTCAATAATAGTATCTATGTTATATGTACATAGGTATATTATGTCATATACATGTATTGTTCTATATATCATATACCTATGTACATATATCATTACATATCAGTACACATATCTATATATTATGCATACATCAGACCTAGATCGGCAAACTCCATACTTCACTACACACACACACACACACACACACACACAGACACAGTGTAGGGCACAGTGCCTGGCACTCAGTAACAGGACTCTGTAGTCAAAAAAAAGGGAAACGGGGTGGGAGGTCTGTGAGTCAGTTTTCATACCCCATGGGGTGGCAGATGCTTTGAAAAGGCAGCCCCCCACTCCCTGCTCTTGACCCTTGGCCTCTGGACCTTGTCACTTCATCCTACATCCTTTACAGGGCTCCTTGAATGATGGCACACTGAGAAACTTCCCCTGAGCCTGGGCCCCCATGGCCTCCCAAGACAAAGATGTGGGGTGCTCACTGCCCTCTCCCTGGGCCTCCCAGTTGGGGCCCTGGAATGCCATCCTCGAGGCTGCCAGGGAGCAGCTCCCGTCTCTGGACTCGGATTCCTCCTTGGTAAGTAAGCACCTTCTTCCCACGTTGTCCTTGGCTCGGACTGCCCTTCTTCCCATGATAAATGTGATGCTGACCCACGGAGAGCTTCGGAGCTTACCAACTCTACGTTCACCATGGTCTCTGTTTTTGTTCTCTGAATACATTTATGCATGCTCAACATCCTCCCGGCCATACCAGTGACCCCAAACTAGGACTGGAGAATTCCTCCGAGGGCTTACACTCTGCACTGAAATGCTAGCCACTCTCAGTGGTGGTCCTGGGCACCTCCTGGCCCAACAGAGTCGAGAACAGGGCTGCAGCAGAGCAGGAATAGCAGGGACTTCAGCATCAAGAAGACCTGGGTCCCCATCCCCGTTCATGTAATCTGTGGGCAGTTGCCACACCTGGGTTAGCCTCGGTTTCCTTGCTGCAAAATATAGATAGTTATCACTGCTACAAATTTGGGATTCTGTATGCAAAGTACCTGGCCCAGAGTGGGGGCTCAGTTAATAGAGTTAACAAAATCATCTATATCCTGGCATTTTTCTCATTTGGGCAAACACCCCAGGATGCTTTATGGAGGTCGATAACAATAAACAGAGAAGCACATCATATAAGAATCAAGGACCGAGGCTCCACTTTGCCTGGGGTCCAAATCCCAGCTCTGAGGTAAAGCATTGTAAGGATTAAACATTAGAGCACAGTGCCTGACACATGGTAAATGTATAATACATAGTAATTTTGTTATTGATAACATACATTCATTAAACAAACTTTTAAGGAGCCTACTCAGCCTCTTCAAGGACCAGGAACCCTTTGTAACATCATGTACTGTGGCAGGTCCTGTCTCACCATCATGGTAATTGTGTTTCTAGTTTCTACCCACTAAGAATGTTGGGTGACAAAAGTAACTCTGAATTCAGGCTTAAATGAGCTGTGCTGCCTTCTCCACGTAGTGGAAATTAGACATGTACACACATGTAAGACGTGACAATGACTCTACGGACAGAGCAAGGTGAGCAATGCACAGGCAGGAGCTTCTCAGTAATGATTGCCAAACACACAGGCTAGAGCCGGGCATTTAGAGAAAGGGAGAGGGTTTTAGAAGTAACACATCAGGTTTTGGTCCTACCTGGGGCACCTGCAAAGATGAATGCAACAGAGCTTCCTGAACTTCAGGGAGCTTCCAGTGCACAGCAAGGCTAATGGGGAGTAAATAATGTGACCCCAGTGCCTTTTCACATCTTCAGTCTCATTTGCTGTCATCTTCAGACTATCCCTGTGAGGTGGGCTGGTGACTAGAAGCGAGAAACCAAGGCTCCATGTCATTAAGTGATGGCTGAAGGTCATGGGGGACGTGGGGGCTGGGCTCTGCTCTTTCACCTACTATCTCGGTGGTGCCCAATTTATTCAACACCAGGCATTAACTGAGCACCTGCTATATGCAAAGTCTTAAGGGTAGCAGGTATGTGCAGAACCAGGAACCCCAGATCTCAAATGCACAAGGTGGTGCTGGAAAGCCAATTTGTAAATCAGTGGTAGGAACCAGTGCAGGGCAAGGCCCTTTGGGAAAGAACAAATATACCCCACCACTGCCCAGCAGCAGGGTGGGGAGGGGCAGGGCAAGGGTAGGTGGGGCACAAGGCCCTCCTCGCTAAGTTATTCCTAAGCTTTCTTGTCTGTCCACAGTCAGACTGCGGGGAAGAGGAGCTGTTCATCTTCCAGCGAAATCAAACTGCCCTGATTCCAGACTTGTCAGAGGAGCTGGCTGAAGACGCGGATGGGACCTGGGTCCCTATGGCTGGCGAGTCTCCTCCTGAGGTCTGTGGGATGCGGGCCCATGACACTGGGACCCTGCGGGCAGAATAGGGTACAGGAGTGGATGTCCATGGCTCTCACTGGACTCTTAACAGCATTATGGGTCAAAGAGGTTAAAACCCCTGGTCCAGCATCTCTGCACATCCAGGCCTTTCTCCAGGTACAACCCAAGGAGGTCAGACACCAAATATCTACCCGCCTTGTGCCCAGCACCCTCCCGGGAGCCCAGCACACTTAGGACCAGGGGCGGGGACTTATTTTCTGCCTGGTTTTGCCCCTGCTATTCACCTTGACCCCCAGCCATACTCAGTTCTCAGTGCTAGCACTAACGCAGAGAACACAGAGTCATCTTCTAGAGCCAGGGTGTGTCCCCTCCCCATCACTGGGACAGAAGTCACCCACTCACTCAGCCATGCCTAGAAGTATGTCTGAAAACTCCAAACAGGGCTGCCAAGACCCCTGGTTAGTTCAGGTGACTTTATTTTGTTTTTTCATTTCTACAATTCTTCTGGATGACTCTTTTTAAAAAAATCTTAGATGGGAAAGTCTGTACCAACTCTTGGGGGTAGAGCCATGAGCTTGCTCTGGAGTCAAAGGGCCTGGGTTTCATCATGTCCGTCTCTTAATAACTGGATGGCCTACTCACGGTGGCTAAAAGGTGGAAGCAACCCAAGTGTCCACCAACAAACAAAATGTGGTCCAGCCAAACAGTGGAATATTATTCACTCCACCAAAAGGAATGAAGTACGGACACGTGCTACACCGTGATGAACCCTGGAAACACAGAGCTAAGTGATAGTATATGTTTTCACTTCCATAAAATATCTAGAAAAGGCAAATTCATAGAGACAGGAAATAGATCAGCGTTTACCAGAGGTTGGGATGGTAGGGAAGGTACAGAGTTTCTGTTTGGGGGATGAAAGAGCTTTGCAAATGGACAGTAGTGATGGATGCACAGCATTACGAATGTATACTTAAAATGGTTAACATGGCAAAGTTTATGTTATATACCTATTTTACTGCAATAAGAAAACCTTCCCTGAAACGTGTTTTTGAGGCTGCTGATCCAGGACACCTGTTTTCTTGATAGCCACTGGTGGTGCCTGTGGAGTTCTCAGCAGATGCCTGGGGTGAAGGGGCTGCAAGGATGAAGGAAAGAAGGGACCCTGGCCAGCACTTGGGGAGCAGTGGTGAGAGCGGCTCTCTTCTTAGGGCGCCTAAGGAAACTCCCATGTGTCAGGAAGGTGACCTTGGGGACATGTCCTTCAACACCAAAGAATCCCCAAATCCTCCCTGGGAGCTACAGGGAGAAGCCACCCTCTGTCCCCAGGAAGGAGACCTAAGGACAGAACCCCCAAGTGCTGCCTCCCGGACTCGGGAGGGCTCAGATTCTGCAAACCGGAGAGCCCTCCATAGAGAAAGAAGGAAGATGATTGAGAGAGACCTACTCCATAAAGTCACCTGGGGTGCCCGGAACCCCGCCTGCAGTGACCAAAGTCCAGTGAAGAAGACGCCCTGCGAAGCTGCAGCAGCATGTCCAAGACCAGGCGTGCTACCACAGGGGTCCCGGGAAGGCCTGCCGGTGCTCTCCCTCCAGGTGGGTGGCTCCTCTTCCCTTCAGGTCCTTGAGGCGTGCCCTGCACGTGGTCCCTGGCTCGTCCTCTACAGGCCAACTTGAGGGCTGGCCCCTATGCCTGTGTTAGTCTTTGGGTCCTGCTATTGTAAAGTTCAGACAATTAATAAAGAGGCTGGATATTAAATTAGGGTTCCGAAGATTTTATTAAGCTGAGCTCAGCGACCGTCTCCTTCGCTAAAAGGAGAACGGCCACCAGGCTCGGGGGTCTGGCTTTTTATAAGGCAGGGCTATATGCAAAGTAAGTTACAGAAGTTAAAAAGAATGTGTAGTTATTCCAGTTAAAACTGCATTCCGCTATCACAACAGTGCTGTTTTATGTTCAGATGTTTTAACAGTATATCGTAACTGGGTTAAGCTGACCACACAGCCTGTCCCCTAAACTTGAAAACACCTTTGAAGTATAAAGATAGGGGCCATGGGAGCCAACTGTCCTTTTGATATGTTAAAAATAAAAGCGAGGGGAGAGTTAATTGCGGTGAGGCCTTTTGGCGCGTTAAGATAGGAGCAAGGAGCCAGTTTGCTGCTGTGAGGCTTTTTGATATGTTAAGATAGAAGCAAGGGGAGGAAGGGGGAACTGAGGAATGTCTTTTCTTTAACCTTTTATTCCCCGGCAGAAGCAAAGCAGGTATACAGAAGCAAAAAGGAGCTGTTAGTTTTTTAGAGTCTTTGGGAGTAGCTGAAGTATAATTTTTAACGTGAGTCTGTCTGGCCTAGGGTCCGGGCCCAGATCCTTACACTATAACAAAATCCTATAGACTGGGAGGCTAAAACAACAGAAGTTCATTTCTCACAGTTGTGGAGGCCGGAAGTCCAAGATTAAGGTGCTGAGACGACCATCCTCTCACTATGTTCTCATTCAGTGGAAGGAGTTGAAGGCTCTGTGGGGCCCCTTTTATAAGGGCTCTTTTATAAGTTCCATTCATGAGGCTCCCCACTATGAGCTAATTACTCCCAAAGGCACCACCTCCAAACCCCATCACATTGGGTGTCAGGATTCCAACATGTAACTTGGGCAGGGGCCACTTTAGGCCCATGGTCCCCGGTCCACCATCAGGCAGCTGGTTGTACCTGTCTCAGCGGTTGTGCAGTCCTGGCAGACAGACCATCCTCAGGTAGTTAACAAGAACGAAGAAGAGCAAGGAGACTCTAGCCTTAAAAAAAAAAAGAATGCTAATCCCAAGCATATTTATAAAGACACACAACTGCCTATAAGATAGAGAACAGACTCTGTCAAAGCATAATTCTCAAAACATTCAAGCCCCCGTTCTCACATAAATAGTGAGCTTCTGTTAATGCTGGGTGTAGTTTATGAATGAGGGAACCAGCAGGATGATAAAACTGGTTCAAAGAGATGATGAGAAACTAGGATTTTGTAAAACACTGGGGAAAAAGAAATGAATAAGATACATTCAGTGCAAAACCCGTCACCGTCCTACAGGGCCACAGAACTGTCACCCATTTTGGTATCATCTCTACTGAATAGAGGAGAAAACGATTGCACCTTCTCAGATTTACAAAGCTGTAGAACAGGTGGGCTCTGGTCAGTTGTGCAAACCAACCTCCCCTGAAAGATGAGCTTTGTTAGAAAAAGCTCCAGCATGACATTGAAAGGTCATACAATTCTCTTTTTGGCCTTATTTACAAATTTTGGATAATTTTCTTAACAACTTAGAGAAAACTGGCATCAAGGTGTACATGGAGGTCATTCTCACCCATTCCATTCTTATCAATTCTGATTAGGATAGATAGAGAGATAGAAATGAACAGGGGGAGAAATTTCGCCCTGGTTGGAAAGCCCCTTGTTAAAAAAAGAAAAAAGAAAAAAGAAAAAAAAGAAAGCCCCTTGCAGCTGCCTAGCAGGATTCCAGGTTTTCATATACCTCAAAGGGATGTCTTTACACAAGCCCCTAAACCAAAGGGATGAGTTTACCCATGTGTAAACCAAAGAAATTCATTGTTAAGAGAGGAAGACATCCTGCTTATCAACACATCCTGTTTGTCAGAACCACCCATACTTTACTAGCCTAACAAGATGCCCCAAAGGGATGTGTTTACACAAGCCCCGAAATCAAAGGGAAGAGAGATAAGAGAAGGGAGGGGGGAGGTAATTCTACCCCTAGAACCTAGAAATAAAAGACTTCCTGCAATGCCAGGCGAAGCTGCTTGCCTCTCTTGGGTCAGCCTACTCCATGTCTCGGAGAATACTTTCTTTTACTAATACATTTTTGGCTGTTTTATTCTGCACAAAATTCTGTCTCTCTTTTTTTTTTAATTTAAATTTTATGGGGAAACTGTGTTTTTCCAGGACCCATCAGCTCCAAGTCAAGTAGTTGTTTCAATCTATTATAGTTATGGAGGGCACAGCTCCTTAGCCAATGTAGGGATGGAACTGGCAACCTTATGTGCACCATGCTCTAACCAACTAGTGAAGCTGGGCTGCCCCAAAATTCTGTTTCTTGATTGAAGTCTTTCCTTCAAGAAGACAAGAACCAAGGTTTCAATGTCATTTTCCTGGTAACAATTCCATTCTTTCCTTTCTGTTTGCCCCTAAAAACACCTTTATTTTCATTCACCTACAGGGCTGCAAGGAGCTGCAAGGTCATACATAAGAAACATTAGTTCCTGGTTAACTTCCCTCCTCTGAATATACCCACTCTGCCCACATAGCGCTCTCTTCCAAGTCCTCCGGTTTTCAGCACCTGCCTAGAACAATCTGCTTCTTACAAAAGTAAAACTTTTTAACCTCCCAACATCTTAAACCTGCATGAACCTGAACAGTTTTTAAATGACACTGGGTTTCCTCCAGGTTAAACAATACCTTTGTGCCAGAAACAGAAGTATTGCCCCAAAAAAGGCAAAGGAAGGATGTGCAGAGCCAAGGTGGTTAATTCTGCAGCCCACACGGTGGGTGAGCGAGCCCTTCTGCAAACCCTGACCCCTACCCTGCAGCGTCCCATAACAGCCCCCGCTGGTCACAGCAGCTGTGCCTCCGGGACCCTGTGGCAGCCTCATAATCATCACTTTCTTCATTTCAGCAACTTGAAGAGCGGGATTTAGATCACATCCTTCAGAGTCTGGCAGGACAAGACAATGCAGACAATCGGGGAGGTCGAGTGCCTGGAACACTGTGGTGGGCAGCTGACCGCTTCCAGGGCCCAGGTCTGACCTTGAACCCAGGGTCTAAGTGCATCCCCACAAGCAGCTCCTTCCAGGGCCTCTTAACAAAATAGGGCCGTGGGCTGGGCAGGGTCAGCCCTGCAGCCCATGTACTCCCTGCTGCTCCGCCCTCACTGTCCTGAACATTCAGGTCCAGTCCTTGAAAGACTTTATGCATTCCCTCATTCATTCATTCACTCCCTCCCTCATTCATTCGTTGTATTGTGCCAGGTGTGAACCAGGCCCTGGGGATATGAAAGGGTGCCCTCCAGACACGTTCCTGTCCTCTACCCTCACCTTTTCCTCTTCCCCACCTTCTCAGGTCTCCCTCTCTTTCTTTCTGGGAGCAAAGTAATCCTGCCTTTTGTGCTTCTAAGCACAATCCTGCTTCCACTGCCTCCCTGTTTGCTCATTTGCCTATTTGCCCATGATGTGGGGGATGTGGTTACTGTCATCTACTTGTGACCTTGCTCTGGGAAATTCTGTATATATAACAATGGCTGCCTCATCCCCTTCCAGCCTGGCCCAAAAAGGTGAGTGGAGGCAAGTCTTGCATTCTGGTTTCCGATCCAAAGTAGAGGTGCCTCTGGGGCTGACACCCCCAGGCTGTTTTCCACAGGGTTTTGTTTGTTTGTAATTTAACCCCTGATAGCAGGATGTGGAGAAACCCATCCTCCTATAAGGTGGGGCAGGCGTAGGGGGCTGTAATTGGTACTCCCTTTTTGGAGGGCAATGTGGCAGAATCTGTTTTCTAGTGTAAAAGCCTTTGATTAAGCGATTCCACTTCTAAAAAATCTATCCGAAAAGAACACACACTCACCCAGGTGGGTAAAGATGTGTATTCAGGGATGTTCATGTCTGTTGCAGCACTGTTTACAACTGTGAAAAATTGGAAATGTCCCATATTCCGTATTCAGTAGGCATCTAGATAAATCAGTAGTTACACCACAGAACTCTTGCAGCCCAATGGGAGAATCTAGATGTATACTAATGTGGAAAGGCATAATATATTCAATGAAAAAAATCTACAGAGGATGATCCCACTGATATTTTTAAAAAGGGAATACACAGACTGTTAATTGTGGTTCCCTTTGACAAGTGAGACTCAGGAGTGAGGAAGTAGGATAAACTGTTATTAAGAAGTCACCCCTCCTTCATGGGACTCGAATACAACTCCCTGCTCCTGCTCGTAAAGATACTGCCCCCAGCCATGCTGAGTGGAGGTGTAGGGTATTGAAGGGGTGGGGTGGGGGCCTCCACTGGTCCCCTCACTTCTCCATGTACAAGCCCAAGGTTCATCCACATGGTGGAGTGGTCAGGCCACTGTAAGTCAAACAGGGACTGCGTCCCCACTAGCAGCCCCCCTGCTCTCCCGTCAGATCGCGCTAAGCAGAGAGCCCAGGACAGGCTCATGGAAAAGCTCAGCCTCCTGTGTGCCACGCAGTCCAGAGCTGGCCCAGGACATGCAGACACAGCCCAGGACACCAAGCAGCAAGAGGCTGGAAGCAGGTGGGACTTCTTGCCAGCCATGGCCCTGTCCTCTGTAGACCAGGCCCATGGATTTGCAGCCTTTATCAGGCCTACTGTGGGTGAGGCACTTGATGTGTATTTCTAATTTCATCTCAAGAGTCTGATCAAGTAGGTGCTATGATTGTCTCCATTTTATAGATGGGGAAACTGAGGCTCAGAGAGGTTGACTTACCCAGGCCATAGGTGGCAGAGCTGGGACTCAAGCCCCAAAGCACCTGCTCTTTGCCCCGCCCCACGGGAACCCTCCCTTCACCATCCACATGGCCTCCCCAGGAGGAGGGCTCTGGCCCTCTGGTTGCTGTTGATTGGGCCAGCCCTGGGCATCTGACTCCACAGCCAGGCCAATCAGAGCCTTTCTCTCTCCATCTTTCTGGGTAGGGGTGGGAGAACAGAGAAAGGCCAGCTGTGGTAAGAAAGATTGAAGCTGTGGGGGCAGAAGTGGGGACAGGGCTCTGAGGTCCCTTAAGGCCCAGCTGAACCCCTGCCTTCCCATACTTTGGTTGTTCCACTCTTTTTAGGAATCTGAGAGCCGATGAATTCCCTTTTTGCTTGAGCTAATTGGAGTGCCTTCTGTCCCTGGCAACCCAAAGTGTCCATCAGAAATGTCTAGATCTGCACTGTCCAGTCGTAGCCACTGGCTACGTGTGGCTACTAAACCCTTGAAATGTGGCTAGTACAACTGAGGAGCTGAATTTTAAATTTTATTGTATTAATTTAATTTTAATTATCTTAAATATAAATTTAAATAGCTACTTGTGGCAGATGGCTACCACGATGGAATGCGCAAATACAGAACATTTTAATCATCATGGAAAGTTCTATTGGACGGTGCTGACCTAAACCTTGAGGGTTGTTTTGAAGAATAAAAGAGCAAATGCATCAACAGGGTCAACCTCAGCGCCCCCCACACAGTGGGTGCTCAGTGGGTGGCAGCCATGCGCCCAGCACAGGTCACACATTATCACCGAGAAGAGATTCAGCACCCTTGCTCTTCTCATCTCAGATGTGCTTTGTCGGAGTTGGGTTTCCAGGCTGGGCTGGGCCACTGTCTGCTAAGGAGCCCAGCGGAGCCTCCCACCACCTTCATTGACCTGAGGCCCAAGGAGCCATCAGACCAGGGCTCATTGGAAAGGTACGGGGAACGGTAACAGCCCTGAAGCAGGCCCACTGCTTTGCGGATGCCACATTGGCCTAGAGAGGAACAGGGACTTTGACCAGAGGGCTCAGGCATGGGCCCGTCCTGGGAGCACCACTCATTTGAGACGTGTTCTTAGCCGGGAGCTGAGCCTGGCCAGCGGTCCCACTTGATTCCATCAGTAGGCCCTCCCGGCAGGGGCAAGGGGGAAGAAGCAGGGCCAGGCAGCAGTCCCGCTCGGGCGGAGGTCTAAGCAAACAGTCTAGGCGGGGTGCATAGTCCTGGGGTGCGTCCATCCACCACTCGGCAGGAAGCCCAGTGGCCCTTTGGTTCCGACTGGCTGGGCTCTGGCGGGCCTGCCTGTCCTCCTGCCTTGGGTCACCAGGGAGGCCCCAGGCACTCCCAAGTCCCTGGTGGGAACCCAGCCTGGCTGGGTGGACTGGGGCGTCCAGCGACTCTTACTTTCTCTCCCCCAGCTCCAGCTCCAGCTCCTCGGACAGCGAGGAGGCGGAGGAAGAGGGGACAGCGGCTGGGAGAGGCCAGCAGGGCCCAGGAGGGCTACGGTAACCACACGGGCTTCTGCTGCCTGGGGCTGCTCCCTGTCCGCTTTCCGCATGAGCCCTCGGCCTGGCACATTTAACATTTGTGCTTTCAGCCCTATGTCTTGTCTCCAAAGGGCCAGCACATGAGGGTGGAAGAGGTGGTCTGAGGTGGGGAGCATACCCTTGGGAGCCCACCCGGGGGCCAACATCGTCTCAGCCTGGCCTGCTGTCCCCTGACATCACGAAGGACACCTTATCCTGCTCTTGAGAAGGGATTAGTACATTTTCTCCCTGAAAAAGAGCTCCCACATTGATTTTGGTCCCAATTAGTGATGGCAGTGACAGTGAAGAGGAAGTGTAGGAATGGAGTAAAGTGATGGTTGTTAGCCAGAAATGTAAGGCTTGGGCGAATTAAGACATGAAATGCAGAGAAGGCTCAGGTCTCCAATGTAGAGAGGCCGCACTGTGGTCACGGGGTTAGAATCATATGCTGTGGCGTGTCCATCATTATGGGAACTGCAAAGCTTGTAGATCCTACCCTTTGGAAATGTCAGAGTCTAACACAGCTTTTCCCCTAAGATAGTCCGTGATTAGGCATGACAGGAAGAAAGAGGGAAGAAAAAATTGGGTTGGGAAGGATCACACAGGTGCCATCCCAAGAAGCCTTTAACGTGCTGACACGCATGTGACTTAGCAAGGGCAGAGGCTGCTGTCCTTATTGAGTCAGCCTCTCAAGAACCAGGGAACCAGCTTCGGGGAGCACTCCGGCTTTTGTGTTTGTGTCCCGTTTCAGTGGCGAAGTGTTGGGAGGTCTGACCTCCACTTGGCATTAACTGAGGTTGCTTCTCTTGTGTCACAGGGACTGTACTGGGAAAAGTCAACTTCTCCAGCAGCTCAGGGCATTTCGGAAGGGGACGGCTCAGCCCCATTTGCCTGCCAGTGAGGGTCAGAAGGCTCAGGCCCCTGAAGACATGGCCGGATCTGGGACTGGGAAAAAGCACCGTATAACTCTCTGGGCTGAACAGCAGAGTGCCCATGCCAGACCTTCAGAGGAAAGTCCCAGAGCCCTAGGGCACCCTCGTGGGCCAGGGACAGCCAGGGAGGTGCTGGTGCCTCCTCTGGGCCAACTGTAGATGCCTCCAGGACTAGATATTAGGAGGGGGTTAGCAGGATGGCGAGACTCTTCATCCACACGCGCAGACCTGATGGTCCCCTGCTCTCCCGTGTTCCCATCAGCAGGTGCTTTTGCAGCACAGGGACCCTTACTGTGGGTCCATCATCAAGCCCTCTGTTAGAATTTGGTTATAACATTTACATGCACTTAGAGCAAAGAGATGCCAGCACAAACTTGTACACACAGTGTGACAACTCAAGCGGTCCCAACCTTCTGAATGGGCCTGGAAGGAAAGCCCATGAAGATAAGTTTTGTTATGATCATAGGACTGCAAGGCTTTTCATCTTCATCCATTTCTGCATTTTTTCCCCTATAATGTACATCTGTCATTTCCATCATACAAGGTCTTTTTTAAAAACTATAAAATTTAGGTAAAATATATTTAGAGAATTTAGGGGTGGAAAGGGTCTTGAAAGAGAATGTAGCCTGATTTTCTGGGTCCCTGAGTGCTTTCTATTTTGTGTATTTAAATTAACACCTCTCTCTTTCTCTCTCCAAATGAACTTTTTTTTTTTTTTAAAGATTTTATTGGGGCATTGGGGGAGGGGAACAAACAAGTTGCTGTCGTTTTGTTCTTCAGTCTAGTTGTGGAGGACATCGCTTCACTGGCCCATGTTGGTATTATCATTGCGCTCTTCCGGGTGAGGCTTATTGGTCGCCGGCCTCTGGACGGCCACTCACTGCAGCTCTTGGCAGCTCACACTGGCTGCCAGCTGCTCACGCTGGCTGCCAGCCACACACGATAGCTTATGGCAGCCCACTGCAGCAGGGGCTGCAGCCTATGCCGTCGCCGGCGACTCACGGCAGCCCAGCTCCAGGTCGAGCTGTTGTTCACCATCTTAGCTGTAGAGGGCAGTGTCACTGGCCCCCATGTGGGATCCGAACCAGGGCCCTGCTGCTCAGAGCTGGCGTCCCAAGCCAACTCTTAACCAACGTGCCACTCAGCTGGCCCTCCAAATGATCTTTTGATTGAAATTTGATTTCTTTTTTCTTTAGTCAAGACACAAAGGCACATATATGTTCTACATTCCTTCCAAACTAAAGGTGGACTTGACCTTTAAATAGAGAATACTGAATGTTCTAACACCTGAAACTGTTTCACAAGGTTATCCTTGTGGATAACCAGCAAGAACTGAAGTCCCACAGGAGGCACTCCCGTCTCTCACCCTGTTACTTTACAAGCCTTATCCCCCACCCCACCCCCTTTCACACAGGCCTTTCATAACTCTTGTTCTCAGCCTTGCTGCTGCCAATAGGAAGAAGCCCTTATCTGTGGCACCTCTGTTCTCCTCCCAATTTGTTTCCAAGATTCTGCTTCTCAGAGTCTCAGCCCCCCTCTGTCCTGCCTGCCCCATAAGAGTAGAAAAGTCACCTGGGGTCCTCCCATGCTGTAGGCTCAGGCGGCCCCGCAGGGTCCTAGGCATTCAGCTGAGGTCACCACTGGCTGCCACGCATTGAAGATGGGCAAGGGTGTCTTCTTATCCAGCCCTGCACCAGGCGAGTCAGGCCCTGCCTGGCCTCAGCCAGCCACAGGAAACCAAGATCCAGGCCACAGACCCCGCTTGACCTGGCCACAGGGGTCCCACCACCAACTATGGTGTTTTCATTAGAAGCCAGATGCAATGGAAGCTTCCACCAAGGCCACAGGAGGCCCAGGCGAGGCCTCCCCCAGGATCTGTGGCCAGGCTGCTGTCGCTTGGGATCCCCAGGCTGTCCCACCTGCAGAGGTCCCACACCCTCAGTTCTAGGGCACAGGCAGCATGGTCAGGGCTTAGGTGCTGGCAGCCTAATGTGGCACACCTCCACCCGTGGTACCAGCCTCGCTGCCGAGAGCAAAGGCCCTTTTTTCCTTTTAACCCCAATTCCCCCATATCTACCCCTCTTCATGCCAGTTTTCATTTAGGATGATAGTTTTAGAAAATAAACTTTGTTCCAAGTTCAACTCTGAATTACTGTCAAAGCATGGCAGGATGAGGCAGTGGGAGTTCAGACCTGGGTTAAAAGTCTTTTCTGCCACTTGGGCAGCTTCCCCCATCTATAAAAACCTAATGTCCCAGGATTGCATGACAGAATATCATGAAACAGGCACTTGATGGGCCCAGCTATCAGGCCAGGAAGAGCGCAGCCACCAGCCTGGACCCGAGGTGCGCCCAGGGGCTCACGGCCGTGTGGGGGAGGTGGGTGGTCGGCAGAGCTGGCCCGGCTGACCTAGCTGGGTACTACATGCCCCAGGAGAGCACCAGAAGCTGACCTAGGTCAAAACCATCCTTAACCAGGTCGCCCCATTCTCCAGAGAACACGCAGGACAGAGCACATGGGTTCAGGACTGACATTTATTAATGGAGAAGACGTCACATGCCCTGGAACCTGAGTTGTATGAAAAGGTGAAAATATATACAGTGATTGGGAAACACAACAGAATGGAGCAACACGAGCTGGCCTGAGGGCCAAGGCCACCCAGCCGTGAGGACTGGCCACACTTCTGGATGGGATGTTCTGGAATCCAGTGGTGACTCCAGTGATGACTGAACTTAATAAGGATTCTATACCTCTCCCCCAGTCACTCAGAAGACCGTGGATGTGACCAAACCAGAGGCACATCCACCTCAGAAAGACAAAGTGGGGATAACCAAGGCTGGCCTGTGGCCTGGAACATGGCCACCTGGGGCTGGAGCAGAGGCAGTCCTGGACGCCTGCCCTGGGAAGATGGCAGGGCCAGTCAAATCCTTCACAGGAGGGGGAAATCAGGAGTCGTCTCAGGGAAGCGTTCCCACACCAGGCATCCATCCTACACAACAGCTGTGAATCTCTGAAGGTACCCCCCCAACTCACCCCATTTCCCCATTGACACCACCAGAATATAGGAAAAGCCTCCACAGGCTACATTTTGAAAGTGTGGCAAGGTTAGAGGGGAAGGCTGGGGTACATAATGCCACAAGCAACAGCAGCCATTGAGACTTCCCCTGCAGTGGTGGAAGAGTGTCCCCCATATTCACCTCAGAATGTAACCTTATTTGGAAATAGGGTCAATGCCAATGTAATTAGTAAATAGGTCATTCTGGAGTGAGAGAGTGTGAGTGTGTGAGTCCTTAAATCCAATGATTCTGCCCTTACAAGACAGGACACAGAGACACACAAGGAGATGGCCATGTGACAACAGAGGCAGAGACAGGAGTGATGCTGCCACAAGCCCAAGAACAGCAAGGACTGCCGACAACACCAGAAGCTGGGAGAGGCACGGGATGGTTTCTCTGTTAGAGCTTTCAGACGGAACCAGTGCTGCAGACACCTTGATTTTGGACTTGTGGCCTCCAGAACTGAGAGAATTCCTGTTGTTGTGGGCCGCCCAGTGGGTTGTCATTTATACGGCAGCCCCAGAACCCTCACATACCTGTTCTGTGCCCAGCACTCCACCTGAAATGTCCCGCTGCTGTGTCCTCACACTGGGTCCAGGGGAGCAAACGGAGTCGGTTGAAGATGCCTGAACGGGTCAGGGTTTCTGGTTCCGGGACAGAAATGGCTCCGGCAGCTTCATGAACTGACTGACTTCTGTGCATGGTGGTCAGGCTTTGGCCTCGGGGGCCTCCTGGAGCCTCGAGCGTCTGGGAGGCGGCTGCACCCCTGTGTCGGGGCTCTGCGGGTGCTTCTCCCCACTGTGGGTCCGCTGGTGTCTGTGGAGGTCGGTGCCCTGGCGGAAGCCCCGGCCACAGGCGGGGCACGTGTAGGGCCGCTCTCCCGTGTGCGTCCTGCGATGGGTGCTTAAGTGCGAGCTGTTGCTGAAGCGCTTCCCGCACTCAGCACACTCGTAGGGCCGCTCCCCAGTGTGCACCCGGCGGTGGGTGACCAGGCTGGAGCTCTGGCTGAAGCGCTTCCCACACTCGGTGCACCAGTACGGCTTCTCACCCGTGTGGATGCGCTGGTGGGCGCCGAAGTTGGAGCGGTCGCTGAAGCCCTTCCCGCACACCAGACACTGGTACGGCCGCTCCCCGGTGTGCGTGCGCTGGTGCTTGGTCAAGTGGGACTTTTTGCTAAAGCCTTTGCCACATTCAGGGCACGTGTGCGGCTTTGCCACCCTTCGAGGACCCCCTCTGTCCAGAGGCCACTTTGGCCTGGTGAGGCCCCTAACAGGGGCCTGCCCCTGACCTGGGATCGGGGGTCCGGGCCCCCTGCAGCGCGCCGACAGCACTTGGTCCCACTCCGTTCTCGTGGGTGTGTCCTCCCCATCCTCATACTGCATCCCGAGGCCTGAGAAAGAGAAAACAGAGTCCCTGAGGGCCACGCATGGAGAGGGGACAGGAAAGGGGAGCTTCTGATAAGAGAGGCAGCAAAGGCTGCGGGGGAGGGGGGTTCCATCTGAGGAAAATGATGGAGAGCCATGCTCTTCAAATTCCCCCTCAAATCACGGAACAGCGACTGTCACCCAGACCATGACGTGAGGTGCTAACACCTCGGCCAGAGGCTGCCGTAAACACACAGCAGGCAACTCGTTTAATCCTTGAAATGCCCGTGAGGTGGGTGCTGTTACTGTCCCGTTTTACAGACAAACTGAGACACGGGGAGGTTGGGAATTTATCCAGAGTCACTTAGCTGTTAAGAGCCCCCAGTCATCCGGGCTTATAACCTCTAGGCCAGGGATTCTCACTGAGGGAGGGCGGTGGTGCGCCTCAGCCAACACTTGGCAATGTCTGCAGACAGTTTTAGTTGTCAAGCCTGGGGCAGGAGAGTTGCAACTGGCATTTAGTGGGTGGAGCCAGGGATGCTGGTGAACATCCTCTGGCGCATAGACGGCCCCCCCTCAACAATGATCCAGCCCTGATGTCAAGTGCCCAGAGAGACCCTGCACTGGGCTGTTCTGGTTGGAGCAGGACCCCAAGGCTTGGGGTCCGAGCTCCTTGGCTTCCCGCTCATATATTTGGGGGTGGCCCCTTTGCAGATCCAAATTCAAGAGCCACCACCATGGTGACATGAGCACAGAGCAAGAGGGCCCTGGAGTGGACCCTGGCACTGTCGCCCGGGTTGTATGACTGGGCAAATATTCTTCTCTGCTTCCTAGTCTGCGGCCCAAAGCAAACCCCACCTGGGGACCTTGGGGCATGAAGCGTGCTGGGAAACTGGGGAGCAGACACCTTTAAGCAGAACACCCTAAAAAGCTCACAGTGGGCAGATACCAACCCAACGAAGAGGGACAGAACCTCCTGTCACCCCGGGATATGTCCACGCTAAGACCCCATCTACCACAGACCCCAAGCAGGCCTCTCTTGCTCTCCCCTTCTGTCTCCACTCACACTTCCAGAAAGCCAAATGTGGGGTTCAGCTCCGATTTCCTGAGCCTCGATTCCCACATGTGTGCAATTAAGATGATGGAACCACCTCCCGGGCCTGTTGTGAGAATTTTTAAAAAGGAACTGAGTCTGGCAGTTCCTCAGAAGGCTACACACCGTCACAGGACCCAGCAATTCCATCCCCAGGTGTAGGCCCGAAAGCACTGCTGCCTGGGTGACACTTGAGGGGGCCTCTCATCTGCCCCATGCTCGGCCCAGGCCCTTGCCCTCATTTCTACCTTGGGGACTAGTTTCACTTGTGTTCCTGAGAGCAGTACGTGGTCGCAGCCTGATCTGGTATGACTCTCTCCTCCTCCATTGAGGGGTTTCTTTCTCAGCCCCAAACCTTTCCTAAGGTCACCTATCTCCCCTTGCCATTCCCTTAGGCAGGAATCAGCACACTGGGGCCCAAGGGCCAATGCCTGTCTTTGTGCCCATATACTTTGTCCTTTCTGCTGTCCATGGCTGTCTTCACATCAAGGTGGCAGAGCAGAGTAGTCACAACACAGACTGTATGGCCCACACACCTGAACTATTTATTACCTGGCCCTTTACAAAAAAAGTCTGCTGACTCCTGCTCTAAGCCCTTGAAGGTGAACTTCACAAACACAATCACCAATGTCTAAACCCCAGAAGACGGGGGACTCTAATCTGGGACTTCCATTTCCTTCGTGCTGACTCCCTTGCCTGAACCAGCATCGCCACACACATCCCTCAGCCCCAAGGCAGCATGAACTGGGCACTGAAGGCCTTCTCCTTGCCCCTGCTGGGCGAGCAGACGCGACCTGGGAGTGGGCGGTCCTGCTTACAAAATGATACAAAGCAGCATCTCAATTCCCTTAGAAAACATTTTAGGGAGCCAGTGGGTGGCAGGAGTTGCAGGATAAGCCCAGTGGGAAGAGACAGTGGTGGGCGGTGAGCTGGGGCAGTGGTAAGGAGCGGCTGTGGATGGCCATGGCCTTGATGGGAGCAGCTCTGCCCAAGGAGGCTGACGGTAGCACAGAAGATGAAGGGAAACTGGACCAGCTGTGTGGGTGAAGGAGAAAAAAAAGGAGGACTCCAGGGCAGCTCTGCCGGGACGTGGTGAGCAGCCACGCTGCCCCTGCTGCAGCTGGGCCACTGACAGTACACATCCGCAGCCCTGGTTCTGCAGATTGTATGCAGGTGGCTGCCAAGGAGACTCACCAGGGAGCGCCCCTGACCCACTGAACCAACCCCTGTGCATAATTTCCTATTTTTACAATGCTCCCCACGATTTCTCAGGCCACTACCGCTTGAGAACTGATGGACTGGCGGCTCCTGTAGGCTATGTGGAGCCAGGGAAGGTGCAGAGTGGGGAGGTGGCCTGGGTCTCAGGTCCTGGAGGCCAACACACCTTTGGGGAAATGCTAGGCCAGCCCAAGGCAAGGAGCCACCCTCCCTCATGGTTTCTGATGGGCAGCGGCCAGGGTTTCCCCATGTTGCCCTCACTCTCTGACAGCACATCCCACTGAGCCGGGTCCAGGCACCCCCACTCCTCCTGGGACCGGTACATGGCCACATCTTTCAAGGTCACTGGCATCTACAACACAGCCCACTCAATCCCATGCCAGTGTCCCTTCAGGTTGGGCCAGCCTGGTGGGCTTACCCGTCCCTTCCACACACGTCACGATGGTGGGTCCTGCTCACCTCCCCCGACTTCTTCCCTCTCCACATGCTATCATCCACCTCTCTTACTCCCAAGCTTGGCTCAGACATGGCGGGATCCTGTTCTGTGGGAGGATATATCGCCACTGCGCTCTGCCCCGTTGCTGCGGGGTCGCAGACGGTGTTGGATCAACTGCGTGCTTGGCCACTGGGGCGCATGCCCCTTGGGGACACGAGTTAGCAAGCCCTACCTTGGCTCAAGTATCCCTGGGGCCCAAATGGGGTGACTTGAGGACTTCAGGATGGCTCTAGGCCAGCGGTTCTCAAAACTAGCACCAGGCTGACCTGGGGAGCATGATTAAAACCAAAGCAAACAATGTCCATAAGAGAGAAAACTCATACAGAGGATCCGTGGTTGCCAAGGGGTGGGGGAGATGTGGAGTATTTTGGGGAGTGATGAAGATGTTCTAAAATTGATTATGATGATGACTACACAAGTCTGTAAATATATTAAATGCTGTACACTTTAAATGGGTGAATTGTGTATCTATGAAACATATTTCAATAAAGCTGTTATTTAAACAAACAAGCAAAAAAGACTATTCCAGACCAGGGCTGGGGGAGGAATCTGTATTTTTACCTGAAGTCCCAAGAGACTCTAACACCCAGCTGCATTTCAGCGATTGCCCTAGCTCACTATCGGACCCCACAATCCTCCAGGACACGCCTAGTACTCAGGTGGCGTCTGAGACATAGCAAGACTTCCCAGGAGGTGAAGGTCACTCCAAGGGGGAGCACCTTTGAAACCCAGGGACCTGGCCATGGGAGAGAAGTGTCCCCAGGAATGCCAGCTCACCTGGGACCAGGCTGGAAGGATGTGGCTGGTGCTGCTGTGTCCTGGTGCTGGAAGGCCACTGGGCCTAGAGAAACAGCACAGTGACCAGCGAGGCCCACACAGCCCACTGTGAGGGCGGGACAGGTGCAGCTGCTCCCACCTATGCTCAGCTCCCCACTGGGAGCCTGTCCACACCAGATGGACACAGCCTCAACCACCTGTGACACACCTTTCCCTTCTCCCCTCCCTTGCAGAGCTGTTTTCCTCAAGAGGGGAGGCTACTCACCTCTCTTTGGCCAGAGCGGGGGGCCTCTCTTGGGTCTGTGGCTCAGCTGGGCCAGGGGCTGCTGCCTGGTGCACCGAGCCCCTTCTTCTAGGGACAGCTCCTCTGGCTGCGCCACTGCCTGGAGTTTCAAAGACTGTTCCCCGGTCCGGTGGAGTACTGTGTCGTCAGAGAGCGTCTCCGGGCCCTGCACACAGACAGAGTGCTGCCCATAAGATCCCAGGTCAGGGGGAGACCCAAAGGATCCCCAACCCCTTGTCTTGGGCACCCCTGGCCATCCTCACCAAAAGGGGGCAGCCTCATTGTGTCTAACTGCACCCTTGGCCCTCCACATGCCACACGCAGCCCTCCCTCCAGCCAGCTCCCAGGGAGGACTATGAGCCAGGACAAAGCAGGGCCTGCTCTGCTCCTGAGTGAGATTCCATGGTGTCTCCCTGTCACCCTGCAATGGCGTCACTATCACGCTATTACCCTCATTTCCTGGTGCTCCCAACAGACCCTGGACCAGAAGGGGTCTGAATCCAATCTCATTTTGGAAGTTGGCATTACTGCATTTGCTACATTTTAAAAATCATCTACAGGCACTTTGGGATAATCTAATTCCTAATTCCAGAGGAGGTAAATTAGATGAACTTGAGTCTCAGTTTACCGAGCTCTGCAACAGTGCTTGGGGTAAGACACACTCCCAGGGAACTGTAAAACCAGTGCTGGGGACCATTGTCTTAGGCCTCCTCTTGTCCAACATTCCACAACTCTGACAGGAGACAGTCCCCAGAAGTTCCAGGGTACACAGTGACAGAGGGAAAACATGCCAGGAACCCCAAACACCAAGCCTGGAGGAGCTGAGGGGATCCTGTGTTGTTGGTCACCATGATAGCAGGAGTTGCTTACTGCACTCAACCCACAGAGCCAAGTTTTGGGGGGGGGATGTGTCTGTCCTGCTGGATGCAAAAGAACAGCAGGAGGTGGCTAAGACACTGCCACAGGAAGAGAGGTGACCAGTCAGCATTGGCTAAATATCTAATCTGGGCATGGCCCTGAAAAAAGAATTAAAACAGTAGGTGAAATGACCATTTTTCCCCCCATCTTGATTAGTTTTGTGACTAAAAGCAGAGATTTGTAAGACTTGCTACTCTCCAAATCCGGTTAGAAGTTGGAATGCACTCTAGAGTGACCCTATCTAAAGAGCTTTCCACAATGATAGAACTGTCCTATAATCACACTGTCCAGTACGGTAGCCACTAGCCATATATGTGATGACCGAGCTCTTGAAAAATGTGGCACGTGACTTGGGAACTACATTTTCAATTTTATTTAATAAGCCACATGTGGCTGGAAGCTGCTATATTGGACAGCACAGATCTGGAGAGACTGGGAAACATCTGGGGGTGCTAACCAGGGCACCCACAAGCCTTTAGCCTTTCTTCTCAGTGCTCCTCTCTGCTGGGATCTCTTCAACTCTCTAGGTGCTGCCTGGGAAGGTCTCCAACCTCCCTCCCATCAAAACCTGTGTCTGGCCTATACTGGAAGGGTGTTAACAAACCAGTCCATACTAGCTTAAAAAGGGCTAGTGGGGCTATATGTGGTTAACCAACAGGGGGACCCACTGGCCAAGGCTGAGAAACTTTGCAGTTGCCTTCTTCCATGCACAGAGTCCAAGCAGCCCCATGTCCTCCAGATAACCATGGCTGGCCACGGCTCTAGAGCTCAGGGAATCTCCAAATGCAGACCTCAGCAGCAGGGCTTGTTTCCTCACCTCAGGGCCAAAATGCCCCCCACCTCACCCTCTGTTTCCTGGGCTCCCGCTGCAGCCCTTCCACGAGGACCACGGCCTCCTCACCACTCTCCGGCTGCTGCTCCCGCACCCGGGCCTGGAGCTCCCTGGGCAGCACCGTCAGGAACTGCTCCAACACCAGCAGCTCCAGGATCTGCTCCTTGGTGCGCAGCTCGGGCTGCAGCCAGCGGCAGCAGAGCTCCCAGAGGCGGCTCAGGGCCTCCCGGGGTCCCGCCACCTCCTGGTAGCAGAAGAGCCGGAAGAGCTGGCGGAAGGTCTCGGGGCTGGGGTTTTCTGCCTCCAGGGAGGGTTCCTCTTCCCAGTGGAAGTCCTTCTCCACCTTCACAATCAGGATCTCATCCTGCTCCAGGGGTGGCGGGGGCTGGAGGCCCTGGGCGGTTGCCATTGCTCCAGGTGGGCCTTGCTCCTTCTCAGGCCTCAGGGGTCAACTCTGTCTTTCCCTATACCCCTGGCCAGACACTAAGAAGACGTTTTGCAGGGATCTGTGGACAGACGATAACATCATTTGGGGGTGTAGCACAGGAGCAGGATAAGCGTCTGCACCCATAAGCCACTGCCTTGGCCCCAGGGCCAAACTCACCCTCATTGGCAAAAAGACAGGGTTAAAGTAAGATTCATTTATCTCTGCTAACTCCCTGCTAATTCCCAGACAAACCACTTAACCTCTCTGGGCTTCAGTTTCCTCATTTGAAAAGAAAAGATGGTGATATCATCCACACACAAATGGGAAGGATGTTTGGAAAGAGTTTGTTACCGTGCTAAAGGTCCAGCTCATCACCTCACAAAAGTCAAAACTTCAGAAGCCAGGTTGGTGGAAAAAGCAGGTTTATTCAAAATGCCAGCATTCTGGGAGGGTGGCGGACTCCTGTCCAAAGGCCATCCTCCTCCTCTCAGCATGGCCCAGAAGTTCTATTTATTTATTTATTTTAATTTTTAGAGTTTCAACTTTATTTGGCCAGTATGTTCAGTTCCAATTTCCAATATGGCGGTCAGTAATGCCTGAGGAACTGTCAACAACCTTGGGGCTCAAGCATCCTGGGGTCTCCCGCCTGGAGATGGAGGGTCATGGTTCTGCCCCAGAGGTCATAGGTCAGAGCAGTGAGAGGCCTGGCTGGGGAGGGGGACCTGGCCAGGCCCAGCCCGAAAGTTGTATAAGCAGGTAAAGAGAGGCAGGACAAAGGAAAGGGGAAGTTGGTGAGGCAATTCCGGGGGGGAGGGGGGGGGGAAGGCGCTTCCCAGAGGTTGTTTTGTTTCAGGATAAGAGTGGATTATGCAGATGTAAAAACTTCTTTCAAGTCTTTGAGCTAGGTATGCATACCCTGTGAAGTAAACAGAGCCTTTGAAACTTGGTATGCATAGTAAATGTATAGTAAACAGGGTCATTAAAGGTTTGGCTGGAGGAGAGGGAAGCAAAGAAAAACTTTCAAAAAATCGCAAGCTAAACTACACTGTTAAATCGAAATTACACTAAAGGTTTAAATCTCAAAATAGAAAATATAGTGCCACTGCTATAAGTTTAGCGCTGTGCCTGGAACCGGTCAGACTCCAGAAACACTGTTTTTATTACAGTTGGCTCTTTTTGATGGGATCCCTTTGGAAATATGGTGAGAACCAGAGCCCAGTCAGCTCAGGGAGACTTTGATTCTGTCTCAACCTGACCCCCGATTTTGGGCTTCGTGAGCAAGCCCCTTCGTGAGCCCCCTGGGTACCAGAGTAGATAAGTCACTAGGGCGGTCCCTCCAGCTCGATGGTCCTGGGAGGGTTGGGACTCCCCGGGAGGGCTGCTTTTCCATCTCATCCCTTCAGGTCTCAGAGAGTGAGAAGTGGCTGAGGCCGGAGCACGAACCGGGGCTTTGGAAATGGGCGGTGGGACCGAAGCTTGAACCCGACCTCGCGCCCCCGCACTCACCCACAGCGCTGCGGGCCCTGGGAGGTTCCGGCGCACCCGGACAACGGGCCAGGAAGAAAGCGTGACCGCGGAGGGCGGGCTGGCTGTATCCGGACGCTGGTCAGAAGGCAGAGGACCCCAACCACAAGACGCAAGCCGGAGAACGGTCCACGAAGGCCATTCGCTGAGCCGGCTGTCCGACTTGAGAACCAAGCCGCGTAGGCAGGCCTACGGGAAGCATTGGGCGGGGCGTAACGTAGTCCTCGCACCATTGGCGGAGCCGGCTGGTAAAGAGTCTAGATAGGTGGGTCTATGTGAGGCATTGTGGGTAACGTAGTCCTTACACCATTTGTTGAGCAATTGTGTTGCGTGGGTATGAGACCACGTAGGCGGGCCCGCGAGATGCATTTTGGGCCACGTAGTCCTGGAACCCCCGGCTGCCGGATTAAGAGCGTGGGAACGAGGCCACATAGGTGAGTCCGCGGGAAGCATTGTGGGTAACGTAGTCCTCCCCCACCCGCACCGTCAGTGAGCATGCGCGAGCGCTTAGAGGCTCCGCAGTTTCTGGGCCATTTTTCCTGGCACCCTTCCATACCCGCCCTCTCTCTGCTTGAAAAAGTCCACAGTGAAGGGATCTTGGAAATTTACTTTTTTACTTACATAGCACTTTGTATGTGCCAGGATCTGTTTTAAGCACTTTGCAATTATTAACCTGGTTCATCTTTGAAACAACCCTAGGAGGTAGGTACTGTTATCCCTATTTTATAGATGAGGAAACTGAGGCACAGAGAGGTTCAGTGACCTGTCCAAGGTCACATATTGAAGTGCAGAGCTAGGTGAAGTTGGAAGCCAGGCATCTATCCTAGTCCAACCCCTTAATTTTAGAGACTGGAAAATGACGACCCAGAAAGTTACTTGCTGGGGGCATCTTGATTATCAATTGCTTATTTCTTTCATTTATTAACCAACAAATATTTATTGGACTCCAGTTTGTGCCAAGCAGGCACTTTGAACAGGTGGTAACCTAGATATTCCCTGGTGTCTCGATGGCACCTGGGGGAGGGGGTCTAGGCCCCTGGAGGGTAAGCAGGTAAAGGGTCTTGGTGAGGGTTATGTATCGAGCATGTGCTAAGTGCCCCTAACCATCATCACTGACCCAGGCTATTTCTGAGTCCTTCAGCTGTGGCATCCCCAGACCTCTAGTGCCTTACGCCACCTTCCCACTGGCCTGCTTTCTTTTCTTCCACTCCTACTCTCCATTCTCTCATGTTTCATCTCCCCCCTTCCCCCACCCCCCGTCCCCCCATCCAATACCTAGTTTTTATTGTGAGGCAGAACACTAGGTTGCCCATGACTGATTTCTGGAGACTGTACTTCCCTGTGTGGGAGGCATCTTTAAGAGTAGATGTCAGATTTTGGGACTGCCCCAGGCCCCCACAGCCTTGTGGTGGGACCTGAAGAAAGGCAGGCCCATATACGCCTCAGTTTCTCCTTACAACACCCAATTGCAGGTCAGGAAAGTTGAATCTTAGAATGAACTAACTCCCTCAGGTTGTGGGTGTGCTTGCTGCTGGGACTGACCAAGGTGTGGAGCTGTTCAGAGGACTGGTGCTGAAATCCAACACAAGAGGCCTGCCATTCCATCTGCTTCAGAAGGGTGTAGAAAGAGATCATTTGGACAAGTCACAGATTGGTACGTAAGGGAGGAAGAAGGGAGCACGGACAAAGTGGGAGTGGGAAAAGGAGGAAAACGGAAGAGGCTGATGGAGCAGCAGGTTCTATAGGACTGGACGGCCAAGATCTGGCTGCAGGACACACTTGGCTCTGTCTAGAGGGACAGACAGGTGTGGGGATACCAGCATTTTCAAAGCTGCCCTACACCTTCCCATTTCTAACTGCCTCCCGGTTAGCTGTAGGGCCCTGGCCTTGCACCTCTTGTCATCTTCTCCTCAAAGCTGGATGTATGGAAGTTAGCAAGTCTATGTAGTGACCTCGCCCTGGCTCATTTAGTTCTGGTCCCCTCCTATCTGGGCAGTTTCCAGTGACTACAACCAAGAGATTTAAAGGCTAAATTTCTACTTTGCCCAGGATTTCTGTCTTAATTCTATTTTGGGGGGACATAAACATTCAGTTCCTAACAAATATAAACCAGAATGAATTTGGGCCTCCATCAATGCGCATCCAAACCAGTGTTTCAAATCCTGGCTCCACCATTAACTGGGTGAGCCTTACCTGTGCCTCATCTGTAAAATGGGGACTGTCATAGCTCCAACTTCAGAGCTGACAGATAGGATTAGATAAGATTATGTTTCCAAAGCACCTGTGACAATGTCCAGCATGTCCATAAACATCGGCTCTAGCTTCATGACTTGCCACTTCACTGGGATGAAGTCTGCGGGTCTCAATTTGTAGATCTTGGACACCTGGGCCATGGAGTTCCTGTAAGCGGTCCACAGAGCCATTAAGGCCCCAAGCATTTGTTTACAGTCTGAATGAAAAGTATTTACAGTTATACACACATATCACTACTTATATTTATACTTATAAATGTAGCTTGTTTTCGGTGTTTATGGGATCCACAAAACAATTTGAATTAAAAGGGCAGTGTCATACTCACAGAAGTTTACAAACAATTAAGCAGCACACATATATCCTCCTCTGAAGACAGAGGGGGCCAATTACTTCTGACTGATGATGCAGTTCCATAACATATACCAGGCGTCGATTCAGCTCACATTCACTCTTATTTAAAAAAATGGCCTATGATCAAGCACGCTAAAAATCTGAGTCATTTTAGTAGCAATTTCCCAATGTCCAAATGGCTGAGAACCGACATTTCATTAAGAGTCAAAACAGTTTAGCTAAATCGATGAAGTTATCTAGGAGAGTCATCAGAGAGCTACTGTGCCCCAAAACGGATATATATGGATGTTTTATTATACTTTTTCTAAAGCCTCCATGAGCTAATAAAAGCTAATGTTTTTTAAAGCACTTCCTAAGCCCATGGGATTGTGTTTTTACTGGGCTACTTAAATCCTCACAATGACTCTCTCGTGTAGATATCATTAGACCCACGTTTTAGATGCGTAAACAGGCTCAGAGAGGTGCACAGCCCTGCCCAAGGCCACACAGCTAGAAAAGTGGAAGAGCCAAACCAACTCAGGCAGGCCCACTCCAGAGCCTGCAGTCCGAAGCACTCTCTTACAGGCACACTTGAACGCTCATCAGGTAACTGATGCCCGGTCTTGGCATAAACACCCAAACTGTTTCTCAGAAGACTCTGGTCCTGTCCCAAGATTCTCCTTTGAGGTGGCCACTCAGGCCAAAATGCCCCCTCTGGTTTTCTAGACAGTAGGCAGATCTGCTTGGCACATAGGAGGTGCTCAGTAAATATGTGCTGAGCGACTGAATAAATGAACAGCTGGAATTTGTTCTTCAGGCACTGAACTCTGCTGCCCAGCATTATGACAAACTTGATTCTGATAATAATATAAATGGGGATAAATAGTACCTATGCCCCAGAGGATACTTACTAGGATTAAATGATACAGTACATTAAAATACTTTGCTCTGGGGTGAAACATAAAAGCACTCAGTAAACATTAGTTGTTTTGCTATTATTTCCATTAACAGAAAGAATAAGGGATAAGGGCACTCGCTGTGCAACACTGTGAAATCTCCTTGGTGTCTGGTGTGTTTTGGTTCCATTATTAAATTTTAGACAGATGAGAGGATACATCAGTTAAGAGGAAGGCAGGAGATACCCATTGCTTACACCTTGAACCACCCAGCATTTGAAACTTTATCTGTCTTTTCCCTACAGCCAGCAAGTCAAATGAGAAGCAGATGGGTAAGAACAGACTTACAAAGCAGGACGATTCCTGCAAGGGAGAATGGCCTCCAGGATGAAGACATTGTGGAGAAAGGGTGGGGTCTGCTGGGGGAAGGGGATTCAAGAACCACCACACATACTTGGAAATTCTTACTCATGGGGATGACATCTGCTAAACTCTCTTGCTTGCTGTCAGTCCAGACATAGTTCACATTGGGGTAAAGATTCACATACTTCTCTTGGGAATAAAACAGTGTCCTAATTGGCTTGGGCTGCCGTAACAAAATACCAGACTTGGGGCTGAACCAACAGACATTTATTTCTCAGTTATGGAGGCTGGAAGATCAAGGTGCCAGGGTACTTAGTTCCTCCTGGTGAGATCTCTCTCTTCCCATTTTTCTTAAAACATTTGTCCCTCTCGATCTTTCTTTTGTGTTACTACATATGAGAGCGAAGTGAGTGTGGAGAACTTCTACCTCAAGAAACACAGTTGCGCCGGCATAACGACAGATGGCTTCTGATGCAAGGTCTCTGTGTCAGGGACACAGGAAGTAGTGGGGGATGCAGGCCCCACACCACCAGCCAGTCTGATTGTTTCCCAGAAACCATGTACCTGGATGTTTAGGTGAAAACAATTTTGAATGTAGATTTAAAATGGAGTCATTCCTGTTTCAGATAAACAAAACACATCAACACATTTCTGGGCTGTGTCTGGCACACACAGACAAGGATGTATACACAGACATATAAAATGATGCAGGTGGTGAGAGTGCTATGAAGAAAAACGCAGCGGGGTGAGGAGAGTGATGCAGTTGCTCTTTTAGGTAGATGCTATTTAGACAAAAGGACCATTCATTCACCTGGGCTCTACCTCAAGGAGGGAAGCCAGCATGTCCTTGGCTTCAATACCTTCTTCAAAGGCTTGTTTAGGCAGGACAGGAGGCCAGAAATAAGCAATGAGAAGTAGTCATAGGTAAAATGTCCAGCCTCCCCCTGAAACAAATCTGTGGGCTGAAGCCAACATGTAGACAGCCAGACTGTGAGAGAGAGACAGACAGAGTGAAAGGTACAGCTGAGGAATAGGCTTCTCAACCGCTGTGAAAGAAAAAACATTATTCATGCCACTTGTTAAAGAATGATTTGTCGGGCCGGCTGAGTGGCTCAGTTGGTTAAGAGATCCCTTAGGGGCACCAGCTCTGAGCAGCAGGGCCGCAGTTCGGATCCCACATTAAGGGCCAGTGATACTGCCCTCTACACCTAAGATGATGAACAACAGCTCGACCTAGAGCTGGGCTGCTGTGAGTTACGTGAGTGGCTGGCAGCCAGCGTGAGCAGCCGGCAGCCGGCGAGAGCTGCCGTGAGCCACCATGAGCGGCCAACCAATGACCGGCGACCGATTGCTTCATCCGGGAAGAGCACAATGATCATACCAACATGGGCCAGTGAAGCAACGTCCTCCACAACTAGACTGAAGAACCAAAAACAGCAATTTGTCTACCTGCCTGTTCCCCTCCCCCAATTCCCCAATAAAATCTTAAAAAAAAAAAA